TCACGTAAAGAGTATGTAGGATATGGATTAATACCGACTAATACCGATTAATACCGACTAATACCGATTTATACCGATTAATACCGATTAATACTAACGCAAAAATCGCGTTTCTGAATTATGACAGTTTCCAACTAAATTAGCTATATATTAATATGAGAATTTCCATGTATATATAGTACCAAAAATGTGTATACCGTAAAAGAATACATATATGTTATGCGACCTTCCCAATCTATAGTTACGTGGTATCTGTAAGTCTCACACTACGACTAGATGTTTTTACTAAATGAATATTTTAATAGTATTTCCTAGCAGGTGATTTTTTGTTAGCCCCTTTTAGTTAATGAAGTTTTTAAGAAGTGCGAAAGCACAAAATTGTGTTTCTTTATCCCCAGTTCGAGGGTCTGGGAAATTGCCAAAAGGATATTTTGATCGAAAGCCCGAAACTGGCAACATATATTGCAATGGGTATCTGATCCAGCGACTCTTAATCTGAGATTTACCACATTGAGGTTTGTTTTAAATTAAATACTGCACAAGGTCTTAGAGGAACCATCATCAATAAGGATAACCTTGAAGCTTATAGCAGACTTATAACTGTCTTCATCTGCGCTTGATCTCATGATAACGCTTTGCCGGATCTAGCTTACAAATTCTCGCTTAAGTAAATAGTATTTAATATTAATTCACATTCTAGCAAAACTTTCCGACAAAAATGTAAAAGAAAATAGACAAACTAAATAAAATCAATGGAGTCGGGGAAGCGTACTTTTGCCTGTTAGTTTTTTATTTATTTTTTACTTTATTTATGATTGATCGAAAAAGCGAGTGTCAAGCAAAGCATTTAACACAAAAACAAGTAAGAGGTTCTAGTGGGGAGCTCCCGACTAGGCGATACCCTGAACCCTCTTCTTTCAACATCAAATGCATATATTATATATATTCTATTTTAGAAGCTATATGTCAAGTTTGATGACTCTAGCTCTTATTATTTACCAAAATTGTCCAAAAAACAGGATATCGATAACGATTTTTATCGATTGCTTGGAAACGGAGTAAGTTATCGATTTGGATTTTGCACAAATACAATATACCCTTATACCCATTTTTAATGGGTTCAGGGTATAATGAAAAGCTTAAAGCTGAAAATATATGATATGATGGCGGTATATTATTTGCCCCTCCGGCCAGCTATTCACAGCCAATTTTGACAGGGTGGTTATTAGGTTCGTCAGCTGAAGATGAGGTAGTTGGTTAGCTGGGAGAAAAGTGTATTCTTTAGAATGAAGTTTACTTACATTTGCACTAAACTGATATACCCTTTTTACCCATTTCTAGGGTGTGGGAAACCTTGTGGAACAATAAATTCAGAAGGAAGCTGCATACATTTGGACCAAATCATTATACTCTTTTTTTACCCATTTCAGGAGCATAAGGTTTATAAGAGTGAAACCGTTTGAAGGAAATGCAAAAACAAAAATAAATGCACATAAAAAATAAATCAAAATCTCGAATCAATCTCAAAACAGAAATGTCAACAACAAATTGCAAAATTTTTTATTGATATGATGATTCAACCCAATTAAGCATTACATACCTGTATGCATACATACATACACACATGTGCATCAGACAGTCATGGATATCTGAATAAGTACGCATATAAATATAAATAAATACAATCATGGAATATACATTTACATACATAAGTACATACATTAATTATGTACATGCGTATATGTATGTAAGTACAGATATCGAAACGCAAACATCAGAGAAAAAAAATAGAAATGAAGAATACTTGGTTAAACCGACGCAATCCAGATTTGTTTGGATTTTACGGTAAAACAAAAATAAGAATTACCCGCAGTCGCAGTATTCTTCAGTTAGCTGGCTTTCAAAATTGTATAAGAGTGTTGTACACTTATACTACACACATACATGCATAAGAGAGTATATTGATTTACGTGCGGCTTCGCTAAACCCACGCACACAACTACACACATATGCATGTGTTTGTATATATGTATGTATACATACAATTGCACTATGAGCATGTATTGTTAGCTCACACTCAAGCATGCCGCACGCCGAGAGTGGCAACGGCTGAGATTGAGAGAACGCCGTGAGTCATTAATAACTAAATGTTTGCGGTTATTTGCAGCGCTTTAGACGATTGCGGCTGGCCGGTAGAAATTAATACCCTCATTAAAATTGTCTAACTAGTCATTCATCTGCCGAGCTGAATAAAATAAATTCGGCAAGACGAATGTTTCGCAAATGTAGGGTATTTTTTTTTTTTTACCAGTTAACGGCGTTTTGATATAAGACGATCGTTCTTATTGGAGCTATATAAGAGTTATTCCTATTCATATGTTTTGAGCGTATTGAAGCTTATGCCATTTTGTCAAAATGTATAAAACAAAATTTTTATCAGTAAAATAATTTAGTTTGTTCATTTTTTTACACTTACATATATTATCTCTTGTTCATAATATTTCTTAAATATGTTAGGAATGGAAATTGAAAATGTTAAATGTTTATAACTTAATTCCAAAATTATCTAGATTAAAAAGTCTCTGAGTTCAACACATTTCGAACAACTTGGCATTGAAATGCCAAAAAAAAGAAAATAGTTCAGTTTAAAATTGAAATTGGAAAAAACTGAATTGCAACACTTTTGGCCCGATGTTTTCATTTTCTTTTACATACATGTATGTACATCAAGTGAAAACATACATACATTCATTATATGCTCGCATAAATACAATAGTTTAATTAATGCGAACAACAAATGGTGATGATTTTGCATACTTAAAAATGTATATAAATAGATTTGGCAGACAAATCAAACATTAGCATATTTCTATATGTATTCCTATGTATTTATGTGCGTATGTGCAAACATCATAAACATATATATGTACGCTATAGAGATATTTATGTATGTATGTATCTGTGACCCTAATATTTAAAAATTGTACTTCAGATTCTCGAGATTTATTAAGGCAACAAGTTAACTTATTTAGGCACAAATCTAAAGACAAACAAACACACACAGAGCGCACTGGAGTATGTATAAGTATGTGTGTGTATGTATGTATGTGAATGTGTGTGTATGTGTGTGTGTGTGTGTGTGTGTGTTGTGCGTTGATAAACAATGAATGATAACACCTAGAAATTGAGTCAGAGCCCCCGCCTTCAGAGAATAATGAAATATATGTGTATATAGTTATCGGTATCGCATGAACATGAAACTGCGAAGAAAAATGATTATTTTTTGCTCGTCTTTCGACTACTTATGCTTGAAGTAAATGATGTAAACATTGATGTATATAAATAAACACTGTATGTATCTTGCTTAAAGTATTCTTGCATAGAAAACTTGTTAATAATTTAAATCAAGTAAGCGGTTCTAGTTGGGAGCTCCCGACTAGCGAATACCCTGAACCCTCTTCTTCCTCAGGAAGCCTTACTCAGGAAGCTATATGTCAAGTTTGGTGACTCTAGCTCTTATTATTTACCAAAATTGCCCAAAAAACAAAATATCGATATCGATTTTTATAGATTGCTTGAAAACGGAGTAAGTTATCGATTATCGGAAACTCGATCTGCGCAGGCACTAGGAGCACCTACATCTAAAATTTCAAGTCTCTAGCTCTGAGATCCTTGCGTTCATGCATACGGACGGACGGACGGACAGACAGACGGACATGGCTAGGTGGACTCGGCTATTGATGCTGATCAAGAATATATATACTTTATGGGTTACAAATACAATATACCCTTTTCTACCCATTTTTAATGGGTTCAGGGTATACAAAAATTGTATTTACAGAATAACGTTTTTTCAATCTTAGGATGAATAAGTGAAAAATATTTGATTTTTCCATACTAAACGAAGCTCTTATATTTTCTGAGATGTGATTAAAAAACAGTGTGGAAAATTAACTTAAATGGAGTCGAGAATTCCTTTGTAATATCAGAGTTGGCATGGGGTATAAATGTCAATAATTTGGTAAATGATGTTGTGAAACTTGAAAAAGCCCAAAGCCCTATTCGTAAAAATAGCTTGACGAGACTTGGCCCACATTTACATTCTCCCCTTGACCAGATTTTAGTTAAGATCATACTTTTACGAATATAAAGTAATGTTTCCTTTTCTTCTGACTCTTTGAAACATATTTGAATTAGAATTTTAAAAGAAAACCCCCCATTTTTTGTAGAAAACTATGCTAAAATATATAAAATCAGGTGCCTGATCAGCCTAATTGACCCAGAGCCCTTCTATGGGCTACACGAGAACGAGAACCATGGATGCATCTTATTTGTAGAGGAAAACTAGGAATCAGCAAGTGTCTAGTGCTCTAGCAAGGATCTCTGACAACGACCCAATCCTTTTGGTTTGAAGCCCTTCAGTTTTGCCGAAGCATTCCTAGAAGGATAGAAACATGAGAACTTCTAGCTATATAAAGCGTTAGCCCAACTTGCGCTCTGCCTCTGCATACATATTACGTACACATATATTATATATACATATAATTGTACATATATGTGTAGGTAAATCGGAACCTTTAATTTGTATGCCAGGTATTTGCATTCCCCCACAACAACAACGACAAGTACATTGTATGTCAAGCAAGCGTCTCACTAAACTTAGTAGAAGCATGAATGGAAAGCATAAAATAAATAATTAGATTAATTTCTAACAATTTTTGTTGCCTAGATATTATATTCCGTGTGTGACTTACCTTGTTTGTGCTTCTGACAATTGCAATTCGTTCAGTATTGTGTCTGTGTTCGAGTTATTTATGTTGTTCTCCTCGCGAAGATTATTAATTAAATTGAATGGTTTTAACACTTGAAACGGAGCATCGCCATCAATATCATTTGCATAAGAGCCGAGGGCCAAATTTAAACAATTTGCGAATGCTAGAATTGTAATTATAAAAGCAAGACAACTGACGTTTGTTGTTTGTGGACCCTCCAATGTAACACATAATTTTGGCCGTGCAATTGATTTTCCATCTCTCACACGCGGCATTCGCAAAATCGAGTTGTCGGTAATTATTTTTGTTTTTGACACTTTAGTCCGCCTATGACATTGTTCCAAACACTTTTCACTCTTTTCCATAATACGTATTTGTTGTGATTTTTGCACGCAGTATTTATGAATTATATTATATTAATATGACAATAACCGTCCGCGCAATACTTTGTTGGCACAAATAAAGCTCCAAGAAGCAATATACCTGCTCGTGCAATGCGCTATATACGTATGTATGTAATAGTCAGCAGTGTGACCGTAGCGGCATACACAATAATACTTAATAAATAATCTAAAAATACCAAAAAAACAACCAATCAAGGGGACTCATATAACTGATTGTCTTAAACTTAAACAAACAATAAACAAAATTAATTAAGTTCACAGGCTCAACCGTTTTATCCATTAAGATATTCTAAATATCATAACATTTATCATCAAAATAGTATTTTTCTTCTTAACTAATTAAAAGTAGAGAAACACTGCTTCAAATAAATTTATTTCTTATCATTTCATTGTAATAGTTCAAATCAGAGCCCAATATCCGAAAGTCTCTTTTGAAAGATGCTACCAATATATTAAAAATTAAATATTTATTGAAATTAAAATAGTAAATTTAAAAGCTCAGGTCATTTAAAGTGTTCCGGAACACATCTGAACAAGTTCAGTAGTTCATTGAAATGATCTGTTCATTTGAACTAAATGTGAACTGTTTTATTTTGTTGCTGGAAATATAGCAAAGTGAATGAAAGTAACAAAAGTGAGCCAAATATGGACAATTTGGAGGATTTTTCTGCAATTGACATTGTTACGTTCGTAACTGAGGAACTACAGCAAAATTACCGAAGCAGCAATGCCAACAGAACGAAAGTCTTTGAAGAATTTCTCGAGCGCTGGGACGCAAACGACAACTCCATTGCAAAGGTGAAATCTTTACACTTTGAATTCGAGCCTGGTACGTTCAAAAATTACACTATTTAACATATCAATAATTTCTTTGTACGCTTGCATGCGTGTAGATTTGGATTGGTTCAATGTCAGCAGGCCGTTGACACTGGCTGGACTACACGGTAAAATAGTCGTGTTGGATTTCTTTACATACTGCTGCATTAACTGTATGCATGTGTTACCCGAGCTGCGTGCTCTGGAGGAGAGGTTTCCCGTTGAGAGCGGACTTGTCGTTGTGGGAGTACATAGCCCCAAATTCGAAAACGAGCGTACTGCGGCAAACATCCTTTCTGCAGCGCAGCGATATGGCATAAAGCATCCCATAGTAAACGACTCCAAGTCCGCATTGTGGCGGGCGCTGAGCATACGCTGTTGGCCTTCGCTATTGGTTTTAAGTCCCAGCGGCCTGCCGATGTTGTTGTTAATGGGCGAAGGTCACGGCGAGTTTCTGCACGACTTTGTTGGCGCGGCTCTATCATTTTTTGGCCGGCAACAAAAGATCGACGCCTTCAGTCTGCCGCTCCACCTGTCAACAGATCTGCTTCCCGCATCTAATCTGCGTTTCCCAGCAAAAATTGCTATGTTTAACGACTACTATGCCATAGCTGATGCTGGCAACAATCGCGTGCTAGTTGTGACAACTTCTGGAGTAGTAGAGTATAAGGTTGGCGGACTCGAGGCCGGGTTTGTGGACGGCAATTTAAATACGGCACGATTTAATAATCCTCAGGGAGTAGCGTTTCTCGATAAAGATACACTAATAGTAGCTGATACCGATAATCATGCACTTCGGCAAATTTCGCTGAAAAGTGGAGCTGTAGAAACACTAGCTGGAACCGGATGCCAGGGCAACGACCGCACCGGAGGAAAACTGGGACCGTTGCAGCCAATATCGTCGCCCTGGGATGTGAGTGTATTCCGCACTCGAGACATGGATATGTCCTTCCACGTAGACGAGCTAAATGTACCAGAGAAACCAATTGTACTGATAGCCATGGCTGGCACGCATCAGATTTGGGGCTATTTTCCCGAGGGTATTATTTGGTGGAAGTTTCGCAAATTCGAGCCACGTTGCTGTGTGTCATTAATAGGCAACGGCCTTGAGGAGAATCGCAACAACTCCTATCCACAGAACGCCGCATTTGCGCAGCCCTCCGGCTTGGCTATGTCCAACGACTACTTGTTTATAGCAGACAGCGAAAGCTCTAGTATACGAAAAGCTTCAATGGTCGACGGCAAAGTCATGCCCGTGGTTGGGGGGGATCGCAACCCGTTGGTAAGTTAAATGGCCTTAAATATAAAGGAAGAAGCATATAAATTAATTATTTACAATTAATAGAATCTATTTGCGTTTGGAGATGAAGATGGCAAACTTTACAACGCAAAACTTCAGCATCCATTGGGCGTTGCGTTCAACCAAATAGATCGCAAGCTTTATGTAGCCGACACATTTAATCACAAGATAAAGGTAATCGATACTGACACAAATATAATTTCAACGTTGGTCATCAAGAACACAGATGACAGCATCCTGGCACTTAGAGAGCCATCTGGAATTTGCGTCGATGCCGAAGGAAATAGATTATTAATTGCTGACACAAATAACCACACCATTCATATAATTGATTTGGCTACGCATACGGCCCAACCATTTTTGCTGGACTTTAAGCAAATTTCTAGCACCAGCGAAACGGACGCACCTCTTACTTCATTAAGAGGCGTTGGCGCACAGCTGGTTAAGACTATTCCTTTGCTCCAGCATAGAGGCAGCACTATAAACTTCTCCATGAGGCTTTCGTCGGACCTTAAGTTCACAGCCGATGCTCCACAAAAGTGGACTATGAAAATTATAAATCCGGCTTTGGAAATGAAACAAACATGTGGAAAATTAACTGAAGGAAAGTGCAGTTTGCATATAAGGCATTTGGAAAATATTGCGTCTGAAACAGCTAGCGAAGCTAATCAAACTGTTTTGGTAATTGAATTTGCGCTGAGCCTTTGTGACGCAAAAAGCTGCCTTATGAAGAAATTCACGGTTTCCATTGTAAGTGAACGTGCCGTAGAAGGTTCGCCTCTTCCTTCCAGTGTCAGTGTTGGTGATGATACACTTAACGCAGATATTGGCGTATATATAAATCAGTCTAATATTAATTTGTGTTAATAAAAGAAAGGTCCCTGATTAGACAGTTTAAGACTAAAACGAGCTTCACAATGTAATGTAAATTCTAAAAAGTACAGTCGAAGTATAAAAAAAAACTGCAAACATATGGAATAGAGTTTCCTTGAACATAGGCTTATGAATTTTATGTGGAATGGATTTCCTTACAGTTTATCTGGCATACATAATTATATGTAGTTCGACATTATTTAAAGCCAATATAATCTTTCTAACTTTGTGCACAGGCTTTAATTTGGTAAATCGGCCATCATTACATTACATTTTGATGGGGATTTGCCATTGTGTATTGATCTTAATGGATAAATTTTAAAATGTTGTATGTAACATGTTCTTGATGTTTTTAATTATTATTATTGAAATAAAACTTTGATGTTTATTTAATAAATTGTATGAAAAAATTGTCATTAACTGACATTAACAACTATTTTCCTGAAATATTGAACTAGAGTTTTTTGCAAATACTCTTTGCCGCCTCCGAGCCTCCAGTTGCTTTGCAAACTTCGGAAAGTAAGTCCTTTAGAATGGATTCCTGTCTGCCTTGCGAACCATCTATTGTTATTGTTGGAATAAATTTAACTGGCGGTCGAAGTGCATTTGTCGCATCTCCGTTGAGTTTCATTAACTCGGAGCCGTGGTCGCTATCAAAGCACTTCTGTATAAGATCAATATTTTCAACGTTATACTGCTTGGCACACTGCAAACGATATAGGAATATATATGTAAATAATATTGAGTGTAAATAATTCGATAAACAGCCGAACCTTTTGCATTGCGTCTTTGGGAATACGATTGTCGCGAATCATGCAGGTCACCACTTCCAAGCGAATTAGCGGATCATCAATCACTTCTGCAGCGCATGCATGATAGGTATTCGCTTGGCATTCCGTCGGACCATGTTGGCAGTCAAATATCAACTTGCCTTCATCGTCTGTTGTCGTGTGTGCCTTAAAATCAAAATATTGATTTCCGAATTAAAGTGCTGTGTATACATTTCACTAACCTTGCCGTAAGGCACAAGCTGCACTTCCATAATCGGGGCAGCGACTTTGTACGCAGTCAGCAGTTGCTTGGTAATAAAGTATTTGGAGTCCGGACAGAGAGCTTCATAAAATACTGTTACTAATACGGGTAGTGGGGCTCCTCCCGACGCCCGGCGATAGTTTGGTTCCTCCTAAAAAGCAACAACAAAATCAATTTACACACTTAACGGAACAATTATCGGCACTTAAAATATGCCTTAAAATGCACATATATATATAAATATACCCAAATTAGGTTTGGGCAATTACAATGGCAACCATTACATTAAAAACGTCAATGAAATCAAAGCGTGCGTTTACCGTTTGCCGTTTACCGTTCACTTATCGCCCACTTCGGGAAAGACTGCCATAAACATACGTTTTACATGTCAAGAGCACGATCAAAGTATTCATGTACACACACCTGTTTTTCGTGTTTGTAGTTAGTCGTACAGATACTTAAAATGAATGCATAGGGAAATGCTTTATCAGCATTTGTGCGTAAATACCAAGCACTTACCTTTAAAACCAGTAAGGGCTGGGGAAAGAGTAGAATTCGCAGCAAAAGTCCTAGTGTGACAATTAAGAAGATAAGTATAAAAATTCGTTTCCGTGTGGGTATCATTTAGTATCCAATTCATTGAGCAAAAAAAAAAACAATTTGTGCAGTATGTGCAATTACAAAACACGTCAAGACATATACATAGGTGTACTAAGAGGGGAGAACAAATATAAGTAATAAACCAACATCATATCAATAAACACGTATTGTCCCAAACTCCTATCGCACAAGTACTAAAATACACCAAAAAATACCGTACGCGAAATGCTAAGAAGGCAAAGGCCGTGCCTTAAAAATTGGTCACCTAAAAAAGTATTTTAAGTGGGGAAAATACTAAATACGTTATATCTATACTAATTCAAACAGCACTGCGAAGGAACGCATTGATACTGTACGTTTTGATTGCTTTTGTAATCATGAATCAAATTAAAGAAATATTCAAATATATCACTTATTTGGAACTAGGGTGAATTTTATTTGGTATTACTGAAGGTAAATATATATCACTAATTTGAATTTAACAAAGATTGAATCTGTTAAACGCATATACTTGCATTCCGGAGCAAGCTTAACACATACAAAATTGACGATTCAACGGTAAAACATTCAAGTTGAAATATTTGGAATTTGAAAACTTGTACGACTAGAAGAAACCCTAAAGCTTCTACCGATTCTAATAATCGGCAACAAATTCGTACTGTACGGACACTAGGACCCACGTCTAAGATTTCAAGTCTCTAGTTCTCACGCATATCGGGGAGCCGAAGCTGAGAGCTTATTCCATTTTACGCTCTTCAAGTTAAGAATAAATTCAATTTAAAATCAGTCACTGTTCAGATCTCCTTGTTAAATAAACATTTTAGTTTTCTTCTACTCTGGTAAAGAATTTAGTAACCAACTAACTAACTAGCTTTGAAATAGACGTGACTATTATGGACTTTGGTTCGGACACCTATAATCTATACACTGCAATTCAAGACAAGATCCTACTGAGAACTAAAATTGGTGTTTTCAAACTCAGCGTTAAACACTGCCGATATCTCCTTTATCATATCACTGGCGACCATACTGCGTCCTAGCTTTTGAAATGCTGCGAAATTGATTTTTTTCACGAAATAACTTGAGGCACAAGCAGCTAAATATGCCGGATTGGGTTGGTTGGACTGCAAAGACCAATAAAAAAACGTTGCCAGCGAACCGCTTAATAAGTCGCCCTGACCACCGCAACGCCGGCCGGATCCACCCGTTGGCATGGTGTACACTTCATTGGTGTGTGGTATATGGATCTTATCATTGGCGCCCTTTTCAAGGATCACAACCCCATCGCCAAGCAGTGACATCCTTTCGCGTGCAGTCGCGACATCTTTGCCAAATAATCTTTGAAATTCGATTGCATTTGGCGTCAATATAACGTCCCGTTGGCCACATACTAGCTCGATATTATCGTTCAGTATGAACAGCCCATCTGCGTCGACCACAATGGGTTTCCCAATCTCAAGGCATAGCTTCATAACATCTGTTGCGGTTTTAAGAATACGAGTATCTCGCCCTAAGCCTGGTCCAATTACCTGTAAGCCAGAAGCAGCTTTGTAAAGTGGGCAAACATTTAATGTGTTGTGTACATACAAGAACATGTAATCGGTCGATCCATGGTTTAATTTGTTCCACAGCATCGTCACGGTCCAGAACAGGATGCACAATTAGGTCGGGGCTGTATGATTTTATAACTGTTGCCGCTTCAGTATGACAGAAAACGTGTGACAAGTCCGCACCCACTTTCATAGCAGTTATTGCTGCAAAATAGGGTGCTCCAGTATATTCCAGGGATCCGCCGATTACACCGATGCGACCATATTGACCTTTATATTTTCCATTACTCAGTTTGGGTATAATTGTTCTGAATATAGTCAACAGCTTCTCTGTATGTACTGGTATTTGGATTATTTTCGACATTTTCTTGAAGTAGGCTGTTGTACAAAGAGAGAGAGAGAACCATATAAATTAGAATATTTTTCACACTTTTACTGTAAACCTTACACTGTAAAGATTGTTGACCACATCGATGTTTCCAATTTCCAATTCGATTGTTTTGTATTGGTATAATATACCGATAGTTTCAATTGTTAAACCATGCCCCTCTCAACTATCGATAACAATGAATTTACGTAAAAAAAGGGCCACAGCTGTTATCTGTTTACATATCAGCAATTGAGTGGCAAGCTAATACAAAATGCAATCCATTAATAAAAAACTTGATTTGACTTTTTTTCAACACACTTATATATAAATAAATGGTTTAGTCACAAAATAAAATATGCCGGCTCTAACCTCGATGTCGGCCAATTTCTAAGTACCTTGCGGTATTTTCCTGGCAATTACGATCAGCTGCTAGTTTTTGTGTGAAAAGGTGGCCACCTTAACAATTGGTCAAAACATATCAACAAATAGAGAACGTAAATGTGGATGCATTTTGAGATATATATCCATTTTAAGCGCGAAATCTTAAACCTGAGGCTGTTTTCGCTATGAAAATCCAATCAAATCTAAATAAAAATGTATTTATGCTAGATACACAATTGAAACACTTACTATTTTGGGAATACCCTTGATGTGCGTATTAGCAAAAAAATTGAAGATCTGGTAGCCCCATGCCACCTGATCTATGTGATAAGATGTATGTATATTGTGCACATTGTATACATTTACATACGTACATTCGCCAGCGAATCAACATACTTTGTTGCGCAATAGTGTTAAGAACCTTAATTTTGTATTCCCTATTATTTCTATAAATTTAAAGAACAATCATGAAAGTATCTGCGCTGGCCCGGGGATTGTTCAGTGCAATAAAGTCGAATGCGGCATCTTCAACCCGATCGCACTTTACATATTACCCGACTAAATTCTCGCCAGGCACCCGCGATGTACAAAAAATGAATATGTTCCAAGCAATAAATAACGCGATGGACCAGGCTCTTGAACAAGACTCGTCAGCATTATTATTTGGCGAAGATGTCGGCTTCGGTGGAGTTTTCCGGTATTTTTAATCTAGCTTGCGGTATTTTATACCACGCTTATGTTAATTTTCTTATAATAACAGTTGCTCTGTCAATTTGCGGGACAAGTATGGAAAGGATCGTGTCTTTAATACACCATTGTGCGAGCAAGGCATTGCTGGGTTTGTATATATATAAATTCTACATTGACTTAATTCAAAGAAGAAAAAACTATAATCTTTCAATTTAAGAAAAATACTTGAGAAAAAATACTGTGCAGTACAGGTGCAACAGGTGTTAACGGCAAAAATATGTATGTAGAATCTTCTGGATCGGCTAACTATATCTTTTAAGTTTCATCCGTTCGGCCTCAAACTTATTTTCAATAAAAACGTGATTCAGCGAATAAGGAATTTTTACCAGGAGCTGTGGAAATTTGGCGCAAAATTATCGAATTCGAAAAAAAATTGTATAAGTTGATTTATTCTAGATTTTTTGCAAAATTCACCCCAGTCGGAAAGACAGATAGATAGAGGGGTTTAGGATTGAATGAAATTGGGAGAAGAACTTTTAATCCTAACTAAATGGAGTTCGAACTCGTTTTCAAATATCGGAAGGAGAAGAAACAGAATTTCAATTTGGATTTTGCTTTATATCATTTTATGTAGAAGCCTGTATAAACTGAAATTTGAAAAATAGAGTCGTATTTTACACTCTCCAAAAAGTTATACGCTTTCACAAAAAGATTGAAACAAGTTCAAATAAAAATGGATAGTATTGGCCGGAAGGGGGTGCAGCGGGAGAGCGTATATAATAATTTTATAATCTAATATTTCTTTAATATTATGATTTTAAATTGTAATCATGATTTCTTTTCTAGCTTTGCTATCGGCGTGGCCAACATGGGGGCTACCGCCATAGCCGAAATTCAATTTGCCGACTATATATTTCCGAGCTTTGATCAAATCGTAAATGAGGCTGCCAAATACCGTTATCGAAGCGGTGGTCTATTTGACTGCGGTTCCTTGACGTTCCGAGTACCTTGTGGCGCTGTCGGACATGGTGCCTTATATCATTCCCAAAGTCCTGAGGCATACTTCGCGCACACGCCCGGTCTACGTGTTGTGGTAAGAAATTGTTTGAGGTGCCAAAATAAAAAAAAAAAGAAAGGAAAAAGTGTATTAGAACAAAATATCCATGTCCATAGCTTTTCTGTTTGCCCAAAATCGACAGGCGTCCTATTTTGTGAAACTAATTTCTTTATAAAATTGCAGATTCCGCGTGGTCCAATTAAGGCAAAGGGTCTTTTACTGGCGTGCATTCGCGATGCCAACCCGTGCATAATGTTCGAGCCCAAGACCTTGTATCGCGCAGCGGTTGAAGAGGTGCCAACGGAAGCCTATGCGGATGATTTGGGAAAATGCGATATTTTGCGTGAGGGCAAGGATGTCACACTCGTCGGCTGGGGCACACAAGTTCATGTGCTTCTGGAAGTAAGTGCTGGTCTAAAGGCCCAATTTAATCAAATTAATGTTATATTCTTAAACTTATAGGTCGCAGATCTGGCGAAAAAGCAACTGGACATTGATTGTGAAGTTATAGACTTGGTATCAATTTTACCCTGGGATACTCAGACCATTTGCAATGTAAGACAAATTCTTAATATTGGAAAGATTCCATTTATAAATTTTCCTTTTGTTTCAGTCTGTTAATAAAACTGGTCGCGTGCTGATTGCCCACGAAGCACCATTTACTCAAGGCTTTGGTTCTGAAATGGCAGCTTATATACAGGAAAAGTGCTTTTTGCGTCTTGAGGCTCCCGTTAAGCGGGTAACTGGCTGGGACACTCCATTCCCACATGTTTTCGAACCTTTTTATTTACCCGACAAACACCGCTGCCTAGCCGCTCTTAAGGAAATCATCAATTATTGATCTTATATCAATGACTATATATACTCGTAACGGATGCATTTATTTACAATTTTTTGTTGTTGTTTTATTCTAATTGCGAAGGGATCTGAGGAGCTAAACCAATAAATAATTTTTGTACAAACCAATCTATATATTTGTATATTATATATATATTATTAAAAATGAAGTCTAGGCGTTCCAAATGAATTTGTTATCATAAAAAGTATTTCTACCGAATTTCGATTAAAAAAATAGTTGTTTAGGGGCTTTAATTGTTGGTTTGAGGACTTGCTTGTTATGGTGGACTTTACACTCTTAGGGAAAATTAAATAACCTAAATAAACCTAGAGGCTTATTCATTTTTATGTGTATTATGAAAGTCAGGTTCAGCCTGAATGAGGAACAGTGCATTAGGAACCCACTTTAATACTTAGGATATCATTTAATGTACTCGGTTCGCTCTGACAAAAGTGTATAAGTCATGTACAAATTACGATTTGCTCTGTCCGCCCATAAAGCTAGAGACTTGATAGTTGGAATATATATTCTCGTGTATATCCGTGTCAGTGTTGTTTATAGGCTATGCCCTCAACGGGAGATAAACTATATAATCCCAAAGATCTGATACTTCTAGACATCCTTTAAAGACGGAGTTAACTATATTACGGCTTTGCGAATCCAATATTCTAGTAAACAAAAAGGCTTATAATAAATTTATAGTCTGAAATTCGAATTTAATGTAATATTTCAGCGAAATGCCAGCTAGAAAGTTCGGCCCCAAGTACAAGATTTGAATACATGTGCAACGGAAATCATTTGCTGTAAAGTAATATTCGAGAACAATCAAAAAACCAGTTTGATGATTTATTGCACCAAAATCTTTGGCAATGAACAGGGCGTATTAATTAATATATATATATATAAGTTTGCTCATATCAACTACTTCATAACTATATATGTAATTACAAAAAAAATGAATAAAGTCTAATGAAGAAATTGTAATAATTGAAATATATTATAGATTAATTAATTGGCGCTATGTGCTTAACCCATGTCCTCACAGTGATAGTATATTGATGTATACATATTGGGAGGGAATCGGATTCCGTAAAGATTATTATCACATTTTTCACTATTTTTCACGTTTTGGTTTACTAAAAGAAAGGTAACAGAATATTATTTTAACGACAGTTAATACATTTAATTTTTAATAATAATTACAACTAAAACTGTGTTCATAAATTATGATAGTTCACTTGTGTATAAAATCACGGCATACGAAATAAATGAGATGTGATAATTGCTCGTGAATATTAATATTTTACTTTCTAGCCATTGCGATTCCTAGACCCAATATGCCACCGAGCACGAGCGCAGCTCCTCCAGCAACCGCAATACCCTTCGCAACCTCCTTATCGCTTTGTTTCTTAATGTGCTCCTAGTATAAAAACGAAATTCGCAATATTACACTCATGCCCAAGGATATCAAACTTATCATCAAAAACTTGCCTCTAACGAGCGCACTTGATCATTCGATTCAATTTCGAGAAATGCTCTACAGTACTTTAGGCCTTCTGAATAGTTTTTAATTCGTGCATTTCCAAAGGCGAGATAATAAATGTAATCGCGTCGTCCATCCGGGTGTAACCGAGCAAGATCCTCCAAAATCATGATGCCCTGTTTTCAAATTGCACATTTAGTCATATGTATGCATGTATGTGTGTATGTATGTATGTATGCGTGTATGTATGTTAAATAGACATACTACGCATGCAAAGTAAGTGCAGTTACTGACTCACCTTTCTGATGTCGTTGGTGTACCGACTCCGAACGAGACAGAAAGCGTATCTACCATTTCAAGAAGTAGAGGTAGAGCGTAACATTTAAATAAAATTGGGAAGAACACAAAACTCTCTTACGTACTCAAATTTTGTTTCTGTTGAGACCTCGCCATCGAGTTCAAGCTCATGGTGGTATTTTCTTTCGAATCTCTGGAACAAAATCATTTTACAAATATTCATATGTGGTCCATATGTGTATAGCATACCTCCAAATCTTCTTGGGGCACAACGTCGTTCAACAGTTCCTCCATTGTTTTTTGTATTTCACAATATAATGTATTGCTTGTATGTAAATATGAATGTATAGAGGAAAAAATTTTGACGATAGTATTTAGTGATGAAAAACCAGCGATGAGTGATATAAGGGTTACTGTAACTGTTATCTATCATCACTATCTTATCTACTATGACTTTGGTAATCACAAATTTATATATTTTTGGTATTTACGTCACAAAATGCCATTGTTAATTACAAAAACACATCTCAAAGCTATTTATTTATTAATTGTGTGCATTAGTTGTTGCACATTCCACATTATACGAAAAAAAAGTTATTTAAATAATGCTTGCTTACAACTCTCTACTCATTTTATGTATTAAAATACTGGAATTGGTAAATCGTCGCGTACTCAATACGAAAACTAGTTCATTCAATATTTGCAAGGTCTGGTAACATTTTAATTGCCGATATCTGGCAAGGTGCTTGACTGGCAGCCCTGTTTTAGGCAACCATATTTTTTCTGTCTACAAACCAAAACAGAAATACCTACATACATATACATAGTAATGGTTTAATAAATGCGGTTTTACGAATTCAGTTTTCCAATATTTCAGTTTCCGTTTTAGTGTAATTATGAAACTAATTAAGAACTGAAACCATATCAGGTGATAAGGAGCAATACTCAAACAAAGTATCTACACCACACTTGCAAATGGAGCAACAGCAACAAAAAAGCGCAGCTCACGTCTCTAAGTTGTTTGTCTGCACGGCTGTTGACTGTAAAGATGAAATCGAAGAGGTATATTCGGCTTTACCCACTGAACTAGATTGTAGCAACTACCATGTTTTTTGTTTTGTGCTTATTTAGAAGTTCGAGCGATCTTACGTTAGCCTGCAGCAACAAATTGCGGGCCTCAGTGATAAGGAAATGCACGATATGCTCACACAAATCGTTTGCAAGGAGAAACAGCATGAGGAGATATCCATTGGCTTTCTCTACATTATATTAACTGATCCGGCAATGGCGCCAAAAACATATCGGGACATAACTCTTGTGTCCAGGGATGGCATGAATGTAATTGTGGCAAATCTCACCCTCTTAGTGGCTGAAAAGTACGCCAAACTAACGGAGACTGCTCGGAGGCAATTGATCTGGGTGTTGCGTGAATTTGTGAAGCACCAGGTTCTTAGTGTCGAAAATGTGATTTGGAATTGTTTGCGTCAAGCCGGCGGCGGGGACGTCTCCCATAAAAATCTGTTTCTTGTGGAGAGCCTTTTGGATATTTTCATAGAGTATAGGGCGTGGCTGGAAGCCATACCCTTCCTAGTACAGTCGTCGGTTTACAGTTTTGTACGCCTTATAGAGGACCATGCCAATCCTGCCTTGATGCCACTGCGTCAAAAAGAGGTTAAGTTTACAATTTCATTGATTCGAGATCGATTTCAAGATATTATACCATTGGGAAGAGATTTTGTACGGTGAGTGGACCATAGCCTAATAATCTTAATTATCTTAAGCAATAACGGTATAAAGATATGTAAGGTGTACATTTTAATATTAACAAGATTTTTAACAATTGTTTTGTACTGTTCTTTTCGCGCAGGCTTCTACAAAATGTTGCACGCATTCCGGAATTCGAACTGTTATGGCGAGATATCTTATGCAATCCGAAAAGCTTACATCCGACATTTAACGGGATTTGGCATTTATTACAAATACGTACCAGTCGGCGATTTTTACAATGTCGGCTACTTCCTGAAATGGAGCGTAAACTACACTTTTTGGCTTCGTCTGTCAAATTTGGCAACCAGAAGCGCTACCAGGATTGGTTTCAGGACAAATATTTTGCTACGCCTGAGTCGCACAGCTTGCGGTCTGACCTGATTCGCTTTATAATAAACGTAATTCATCCCACAAATGACATGTTATGCTCCGATATTATCCCGCGTTGGGCAATTATTGGCTGGCTTATCTCATCATGTACAAACCCGATTGCATCGGCTAATGCCAAGCTGTCGCTATTTTACGATTGGCTCTTCTTCGATCCGGCGAAGGATAACATCATGAATATTGAGCCCGGCATTTTAGTGATGTACCACTCTATACGGAATCATCCATTTGTCAGCAGCACACTGCTGGACTTTTTGTGCCGCATCACAAAGAACTTTTACATAAAGAACGAGGACAAAATTAGGTTGGGTGTATATAATTCATTAAAACTGATACTCGATAAACAGGTAAGAGCTGGCATAATATGATAATCGCTGAACAGTCGCTAATTTCTTGAATAGGTCATTCCAAACTTACACCCGCTATTTGAATCGCCGAAACTTGACAGAGAATTGCGCAACTTAATACGGGAAAACTTTAGGGAATTTGTCTCCCCCGTTGCAAATATGCCACAAGCTATATATCCGGCAACACATTCAATCCAGGCACCAATATTTAAAAAAGAAGCTGACCAGCGGATGATGCAAAGTGGTAAATAATGTCCTTGTAAATATATTTAAAACACGTTTAGATTTTATCGAATACATTTGCAGAAAACATTGACGTTGGCAGCGGAGCATTCGCGGCAAATAGTGGCACCATTTCACTTGTGGACGACGATAACAAAATAGCTATAACACCTGTTGAAAGTTCGGAACGTGAAACTGAAGCTGTATTTAGTGATGACGACGGTGAAAACATTGGAAGATGTAGCAAAAATGATGAAAATACGGATGACGACGATGACCTACCACTGTCAAAAGTTAGTATTGGCATCAATGGCAACCTGGGCTTAGCAATTATAATCTAAAAAAATTACAACATTCTTTTAAGGTTCGTCTTAAGGAAAAACCAGTTCCCGAAAAAGTAGAGTTGCCCGACGCGATAGCCGAATCGTTTGAGATATTTGTTACAAAACGCAACTCTTTTACATGGGAAGCATTTTTGAAAGATTTTCGTACTCTACCTGCCTCAACATTGGACGAAACGCAGCTCAATTATGTGATCTCAAACACGGTTTTGATACTCCGTGAAACATTGCCACAACAAAACGTATTTTCAGAGAGTAAAACCGAGGAGAAGTATTTGGCTAAGAGCATTAGCTATCCGCTGTACGGTCTATTTCGCTTTCTGTATGAGAATGAAGACAAAAGCAAAAAGCCCTTTCAAACCCTACTATCTGAAATATGTGAGCGGTTGAGTGAAACGGGCTATCTGCTTCTCTACTTCATGAAGATACATTGCAAGCTACAGACGCGAAAGAACGCCCAGCAGTCGTATCAGTTTAAGACGACAGTTTATAGACAAATATGCGAGGCTACGGATGAAAAGATTGCCATTTGTCTGGTGCGAGATCTTGATTTACTTGAAAAGGAAAATACCACAATATATTTATGGCTGCTGCCTGATATTTATAGAGAGTTCAAAACAATAGCCATAAATAACACGGACCTTTTGAGAATAACTCTACGCTGCGTTGACGCAAAAAACGTACGTGACATTATGTATTCTATTGCGCAGGGCAAACTAACAATATTCAAGCAAGACGGTCTGATTGATTGCATACGGGAAAGCCTCGAGTATGAGACATACGAACAGTTTTGCCTATGGCAGCTTATTCAGGCCCATGATGTACCTCTAAAATGTATACAGGTAAGTCAAGGCTCTAATATCTATAATAATATAATAAATAGTAGACGAATATAGCTTGCTTCTTATAAAATTAAACGAACACGTAATCGGGACGCTTGCGCTCTCACAAAGGGCGTTTAATACAATATGTTTTCAAATTTTTCGTTTTTTTTTTAAGGATATACTTCCAGAACTAGAAGCTGCTAATCATCCCGAAGCGCTAAGTCATTTGCTGCTGCTGTTGAAAAATGAGGAGCCAACAAATGAAATAATTAGACTTTTGCTCAGTAGGGAAGCGAAAACCAGAGGGGATCCGTTCGTCACGTCTGCTTTAAGGTACCTTACAACTTAGTTCCTATAATAATGTTGTAGTTTAAGTGATTTCCTTTAATGTTTTTTAACAGGTTTTGGTGTCAACGTTGTGAAGAAAAACTTTCCGAAATTATCGCATCCCTGCTCACATCAAAATATCCTAGTTCATCACCCAACAAGAGAAAGCGACCGTCTAAAGGTAGCTCCGCTGCAAGCAGTACGCCATCTGCTGATCACGTGAGTAGCTAACTTATGTGGCAATTGACATTTACTCTAATTATTTATTTTCTTCTTTTTTTTCTATTGGCATAGGTATTAAATCACCTTGAACATTATAGAAGAAGTTGTAGGCATGGAACCGGCACCGGGCTCTATGTTCATGATATGATGCAGCGAGCCCTCCAATCAGCGTATTCACATAGCAATGAAAGCACAAAGGTAAAAATTAGCCTCAATCCAATCAATCTTCTTTTCACTATATCCACGTACTTTTTGAGCAGAAACAGTTCAGTGATCTTTTCGCCTTGGCAGCGGAAGATGAGACCACTGCTGTGGGTCGTCGAGGCGGTAGTGGACGCGGCCGAAAGCAACCGGTTGGTAAAAAGGACTCAAATAACCATAATGCGGGCAGCAAGAAAAATTCGGATGTTGTGAAAACAATATACTCGTCTGATGAGAACTCCAGTGAGGTAGGCAATCGTAAATTAACCTTGTTAAACAGACTTCCCATACATATATATGTCTAACTATTCTAGGAGGATTGGTCAAAGCATAAAATTACACAGGCAGCAAAGAAAAGAAAAAAAGCTATAAACGATTCCGACTGACAGTGTCAACGTCAATTGCCGCCCTCAGTCTTAACCGGTTCCTTTGATGATGAAAATTATACAAGAAATGAATATGAGTTTTTGAACGAAATTACTTAAGTTTAAAATGGTTTAAGATTTTATCAATTTATAATTAGTAAAATCAATTGTAGAATTTTTTTAATGTTGAAATTGTAACGTTATATTTTTTTATTTTTAATAAAAATCAAAAAAGTTTATTCAACAAATTTACATACTTTTATATGTATTATACTAGTCCAAAACTCGAAAGTAACTGTTTATATTTAATTTACATTTCTGAGTTTGATGAAAATATTTTACAAAACAGAATATTCGACCGATTTTTCGTTTGGGTTCGCTTTTAACAGAATTCAGATTCACAAAATAAACAAATCATTTTATTTAGGTTCTTTGTTATTTAGATTCTGAAACATACATAATTATCTAATTCAATTGTTAAGCATTACAACTTACCTCTTTGACAAATCGAGCCTGTACACTTTTCTCGACATCTTTTCTACAAATGTTACAACAACACAAGTTTACTTCAAGTATCAAGCTCCTTAATTATTAATTAAATGCCGTCACTTCATTTTGAAGTAATAACTGTCTATTTGTTTTACATACAAACAGCTGATTTTTTGACAGCGACATAACTGCGCAGGGTTTCTAAGACTTTTTTATCGGAAGGAAAACGATTATTCTATTAATAACAGCACCTTAGCAGAAACTGTTATGAAGTTCTCCGCCTTAGACACAGAAACTCCAAACGCACCTACACATAGACGAAACATACTATCCAATTTGTTAATAAATACATAATAAACAATTGCATACATCGATGCATTTAATCGATTGATTAAAACACAGATAAAGATCATTTAAGAATTTATTTTGATTTTGCCTTTTTTTATAGTGTGTAGATCAGCAACGTATTTGGAAATGTTCGTTTTGACCTGTGTAAATATCAACAGAACGAACATATTTATAAAGCCTAATATTTGTTTATATTGAACTTGTTAAAATACCCATACTTGTGCAAAAAAAAAAATGGTTTAAGCATGTTGAGCAAACTGATTGTCATGAGCGAAAAAGATCCGGTTACAAATGCACACACATACATACCTACACACATACATACGTACATACAAACATAACAATAAATATTCGACTTGCCTCCATTGGTAACTCAAAAAGAAGCTTTTGACTCTCTACTCTTACAATGACGATGGAAGTTAAGTTTCAAGCTGCGGAGATCAATGTTGTGAAAGCGTTTGCGCTCGTTGCGGTGTTTGTTGTCTACGTACTCAGCTCAACTCAAAAAACAAGAAAAAAGAAAACAGAAAGCGATATTTTGCAAAGTTACAAAAAAAAAACACACAGTCTCAAAAGTTGTAGACCTCGCGATATTGCCATTAATTATCAACATGTTTAAAACTGCACTTTGCTTGAGTTATTAAACAGTTCATTTGTTTATGCATATTTATGTGCATGCATGGGCAAAAACAACTCGAGTGGCCCTTCCGAATAAAATGGTAATTTTCTGCGAAAAGAAAGTTAGCTGATTTAGACGTTAGTAAGTCCACTTAACTGACAGCTAATATAAAATAAGTTTGTATTAAACTGAAATGTGCCGTACATGAATTGAAACGTATTTTAAAAATAAGGTGACATATGCACAGCGTGCATAAACATGTTCAAACATGCACATACATACATACATACATATGCATACATGTGTACTGTTTACATATAAACTTTTTTTTGCTTTCCTCGATTGAGCTTTAAAAAGTGATTGTTCCAAAAACAAATTTGATGCAATATGTAGAAACGAATTTATTTACATTTTAGGAATATGTTGATAGCGGACGCTAACGAAAGTCAGCCACAGTCGTGGCCTTAATCTCGTTTTCACACAATTATATGAAACTGTGTCTTGAGAGAATCTTGAAAATATGAATTCCTCCGTTCGTGTCTATGTCGATAAATCAAATTATCGATATCTTGACCCGTTTAAAAGAATCGATTAGCATCAACATCTATGTAAACTATGTACATAGCATACGCATTCCCAGAAAGTTTGTCTTTCTGGATATCAACCTTTTCTACATTTTTGCACTTTTGCATTGCTTTAATATAAACAAATCAGATACGAAGTGTGTTTATCAGAAGACCTGATTTTGCTCTAAAATAGAACGCATGTATACATTAATACAGCAATTATTAACTAGATTAAACTAAACCAGCCAATGCTGGCTGTTGGCATTTGTTAGGAAGCATTGAAGGCAGAAGTCAGGTGATAAGTACGTAAACAGCACTCCCTTGTTAGTCCGACTAAAGGAATGGAACCGTTCCCAATACTAAATTGTAGTCCCTGCTTTTGTGATGAAGGTGCGCGTTAAGACATGTCCGCATTTATATGTATGAGTGCTTGTATATGCTAGCAGGTTTTTTTGTATGAATGAATACATACATACATTCATACATACATACATACTAATGTACATACATACAAATGTACATATATACATATTGACATACATCCATACACACATGCATGCATACACGCATGCATACACGCATGCATACACGCATGCATACACGCATGCATACACGCATGCATACACACATACATACATACATATACACATACATACAGACATACATACATACACACATACATACACACATGCACATGCATACATACATACATACATAAATACATACATACATACATACATACATACATACATACATACATACATACATACATACATACATACCTGATACAATAGCACAAAAAAAATCACCAATTGAAAAATTACCAAGAAGAAGCACTACACTACTAGCTAAGCATGAAAAACTACAGAGCCTACTTGAATTCTTGAGAATCGAGGAGGAGAGCACTTAATAGAAATTCGTTTTATTTAAATTTGCAGACAAATAAGCTTGGTCTGCATACATTTGTTTATTCATAAATGCATGCACATACATACATACATACACACACACACATACATACATATATACAAACACCCAAACACACACACATATATAATACTTATGTACATTCGTAGAAATTAGCTGTAATATTATAAACTTTGCTCCATATAAGCTAAATATTTAAGATTTGTATAGAATCTATACATTATTTATTGCTAGTTCTATATGTATACAATTTTCAGAAATATAGAATATGGGGAACTCGGGAAGTGCGCACAATATTAATAGCGAAAGATCGGGCTTGCAGCGAAATTCGCACTTTCAAACACGATTCGAGCACCTTAACCAGAACTCACGTCGTCAGTTTCAATGGAACAAATCTGGCTTAAGATCAACTTCGCTCAATCCTCAGCGTAGCTTAAACCCTGAATGGAGAAGATCATATCCGTCCACTATCATGAAAAGAGATTCAAACTCTCAGCTGGAAACGCCGCTTAAAGTGTTACCTGAATTGGATAAGCGTCTACATCTGCGAGCTACTTCAAATGGTGCAATATTAAATTCCGGGGGTACGATAAGTGGCCGGAAACAAAATGAGAATCTAACCCAAAACATTCCAAAGATACTCAGTCAACGATCCAAAACGTTTATAATCGAAAATGTGAAAGACAGAACCTCGAGCATAAATGAAAAAATCGATACAAAGCCCGAATTTACACGATCACAAACCCTACTTTACATAAAGGGCAAGATCAAAGATTCCGACCCTAATGCCAATGAGTCAAATCTGTCTCGGATGCAAAGACACACGTATTCAGAACCTGAGCTCATCAATAAAATAAGTTCCCCAGTCACAATAAATACTCAAGAGCCTCCCTCAAAGCCCAGCAATCGAAACAAGTATTCAAAAAAGCGAAGAGCTCCCGAAGTACCCCAGGCAAACATTACAGCTACACCATTTACACAGAGCAGCAAGAACGTCCTGCGAAATGCTCAAATTGCAAATGATAATGCCAAACCCATGCATTATGCAAAAAACTCAGAGCGCAAACTTGGCAAGCAAACAAAGTCAGATTCATTGAAAAGGGATAATGAGATAAGCAGAAGAAGCATAAAAGAAACAAGTTTTCAAGGTAATTCAGCGGAGTGTTCCAAGATCCCCTTTCGACGCGAAAAGAGTTCTGATGCTATTCTGTTAAGAAATCGAAAACCAGATCAAGCCGATGCTTCTAAGAACACGGCGTTGCGTAATGGATATCAAATCAAAAATCCAATTATTGAGCCAATTAGTGCTCCTGTAGTCAAGAATCTAACTCAAAAAGAGAAGTTGGAAAATGGAGTTTCCGTTCAGGATAAAGTATGTCAACGTACATTTTATTTTGGCATGGAACTCGATAGTCCTGTCGAAGTTACAGAGTCGTCGAATGCTGGTAAGTCTGGCTGTCTTTATACTTAGGGCGCTTTGATGCCAATGAAAATATTTTTAGCTGACGAACAACTCCTGAGTGAGAACAAGTCGTTGTCAATGATTTCGAGCTATGACATTGAATACAAGGAAACGACGCGTCTGGAGGAGAGTTTAAATGACAATGGCTTACTTGTGCGTATTCGGCCGACCCTGCCGCGTCGACAAGTGGAAACACCCTCGTTCAGTCCAACATTGGCTTGGCGTTCCCTACTCGAACAACAGGATTGCACAGATAAATTAAAGATATTGAAAACCATAAATCATAATCATTCTACCATGCCCACCAGTGAGACGCCTATTCAGCCTAATCGAACATTACAAATTAGACAGCTCTCCAGGCCGAACCACTTGCTTACAACGTGGACTCCTGAACAAGATCTGGGCGATGAGCACGATGACAAGCTCAAGGGCCTTAGTACAGAAGATGACACCAGCTCGGATGAATATCGCTCTAAATGCGAAAAAGACGGCTTACTTTTCTATGGCAGCAAGAAGAAAACTTTAAGCCACGATAAAGTTGCGCCCATTCACACATTCAGTCTCTCGCTTCCAAGGGATTCTCATATACAACATACGCGCAGCAGCGGAAATTTCAACACAGGCGAAGTATGTATAATGATAACATTTTATGTATAACATTTTCTTCATAACATTTTCAAGAAATGCGATCCCTTTCATGCACAGCAAATGAGATTCAAGTGAAGTTTGCGATAATGTGCGGATAGGAAAGTATTAATTTCATAGAATGTGTGTTTTGAATTAATACGAATGTGTTTGCGACTTTTCGAAGTGGGCTACAGGGTATCGCTTAGTCGGACAAAGTCAAGGCAAAGTCAAAGTCGGATACCCGAAATCAAATCAATTGCCATGCCAATTCCTGAATTCCGCAAAGGAGGGCTAAATTTTTTTGCGTTTTTCAAGTGAAAGATCTTTGAATACGAGTTCAAATCCGTTTTTGCGCCAATTTTAGCGTACTCATGCATGACTTAATTAATTTATGTATTGAGATATATCTTGACTATATATTTATTTTCTTATTCAAAGGTTTGTATTTACAAGAGCCTGCAGAAGTCGAAGCCCGAAAATTATTTAAAGAGCAACGATCCGTCTTCTTATAACCAAAGAAACTCAAGTTCGCATGCACAGCTAGAAAATATATGTGTTACCAATTTCGAATGCTCCAATAATTGGATGCTACATAAAAATATGAGTAGCACGGAGCTGTATACGAAAAGCCTAGAGCATGGTAAAAGGCAAAGGCTGGTTACCATGGAGCCGCAATCGATTAAATTTCTAACTGGTGGAAAGCATGTAATGTACCTGCCAGGCAGCAGCGATCAGCCAAATCCATCGAAAGCCCATCAAACTGAACCTCAAGACAATTTGCTGCCAGTCAAAACGAGTCGTCACTTCAAAAGTCGACAGCGGCACATGCCTCAAAGTTTGCAGGACAAAACGCCAATTTTTCCCATAAAGGTACTTTCGCATTGCCTGTGTAAACCGAATTTAATTGGAATTAAACAAATTACATTTTAATTACAGTCTTACAACGAAGAGGTTGCCAAATTGGACGATGATAAGCCGTTTCATCAACGTTTCTTATTTAACAATCCCGTACGCTTGTTGGAGAAAAAGTTGCATGCAGACAAAACTGTGAAGCCCGCCAAGCTTAAAATGTCACTAGACGGTCAACTTGAAGCGTTAAAAAAGTACACAAAAAAAAAAACCAAGTGATGTATTTTTTTACTTTTGAATTTCTTATATTTTTAGAGTTGAGGAAGATTTTCAACGGAACCGCGCCAACGAGAAAGAGAACATACAGCATCAATTGCGGCTTTACTTTGGAACAGATGACGAGCAGTATCACAGCTTGCCAATAGCCCCAGTGCTTGATAGATTTGCAGCTATTAATCTCAATGACACGGATAGTAAATTGTATCGTCGTGATGATCCTGACGGTTGCGTATCAAATGTTGTCCTTGAAAATGAAGATCAAACGATAACATTTGCATCGAAAAATATTTTAACCTAGATTTGTAAACATATTCTTACACTTATTTAAATACACTGCCCGTTAATAAATAGAAAATAACATTTATGAATTTTGAATGTTACCAGATTTTAATGCCATCTAGAGGTCAAACAAAAAGCCAAACCTTATCAAATTCGGTTGAGTTCTGACCGAGTTCGAAGTTACTAAAAAAAAGGCATATAACGGATAATAAAGCACAATCTGTGCGCGTTGCGGAAAGCTTGATTTAAAGTTATCGATAACAAGATTTGTTGATGCACATCAGAGTGGAAAAGGCTATTAATGTTCAATTTAACATGATGTCATTCACAATCGATGCTCAACCGAATACAAAAACATTCGATACTATCGATATATTTTGCCAGCTGTGTAATTCTTCGTTTCTGGTTGTTGATGGAAAAAGGCGTCCAAACGAGTCGGGGGTTGGGTCTATTCTTAAATTTGTTGTATAGTCTTATTAGTACAAATACTTGCATTTACTGATAACACTCTGTTCTATACCTTCATTGTTCCAAAGTCAAGTGGAATCTTACAGAGCATGGAGCTATTGAAGAGTATCAATAATAAAGAAATTTTCATGGAGGTACAGAAGGGATTAATCCATTGAAAACAATAACATTTACATTTCTTTTTACAACTAGGTTCTTCATTTGTCTATTGAGTTTTTGATTGGCAACATCAACGAGCAACAGGCACTACGTTTTTCACACAAGTTCGGGTTCCAAAATCCCGACGATTTCTTACTTGCTACGCGCACAATATCCAAGTACTACAAACAATGTTGTTCAGATGGTGGGGATACGGATATTTCTGAAAAATTGCCCTATTTGAGTCCCGAGCTAAGACCCCTTGTGCCCTTGGTGCTAGCGGCGAGACTCGATGCAGTCGAATTAGCCCTTGGAAGAAGCGAATACCTAAAGAATCACGTCAAGTTTGTGATGTCCTTCTCCTGGGACACGCGCCTTATATTGGGCGACAGCAGTTTTAGAAGCAATATTCGGCAAGTGGCAACAATAAATTTGCATTGCCAATCAAATTCGAATCGCGAAGTAATCTTCTTTGAAATGGATCTTCAAAAACTTTGCGCTATGATTGAAGTACTTGAAAAGTCTCTTAAGAGAGTTTAAGTTGTTATAATATGAATCTAAATATTCTTAAGACTATATTTATGCAATTGTAAATATGTATATTCCCGAAATACAATAATATGTTTATGTATGATAAGAAACTAGATAACACAAACATAATTTATACGTGCTTGAGCTATATTCCGCGGATGTAATTCTACATTTTTGTTGCAAACATCAAATGTTGTGGTCTATATTCCAAGTTTAAAACCTCTAGATATGACTTTCGACTCGTCCGCACTGAATCATACATTTCAGTCAAATTGTAAGTCATCCAAAACAACAATTAATTTCATTATAGCAATAAGTAGACCAGGTGATCCAGCTTTTTAAGGGAAGTTGGATTTGAATTTAATCTGTAAATATGCCAACGAGCAGGCCTTGGGAGCCCTTTACAAAGCTTATACTATTTCTTACTAACAAATCTTCTTACTAAATCGACACAAATCATAAATATGTTGTCAGAACAAACTATTTGTTATCGTAGAAATGTTTATGTAGAAATAAAAACAATATCTTAAAGCGGGCTACACACGCATGTTATTAAAAACTTAAATTATGAATATCATAAGGAATTCATTGAATATTCTCTTAAATCTGGGTTTTACTTATTTTTTTATTACATATATAAATAATTGGTATTTTGTATACAATTAAATTTGCTATTTTTATAAATATATAACGAAATATTTACAATCATAATAAACAAATCATTATTAATGCATTATTTCAAATAATTTTCTTTAATATTTTTACAATGTTCTTCAAATACGCTCTTGAGCTCCACACTGTACTTACTTTGGGTATGTACATTTTTACATGCATGTTCAGCTTAGCTAATTAATAAAGGCAAATTTTAAGCATACAGCCGCATTTAGGCTGAATGGGCTCAGAACGAATTACATAAAATATAGTTGGACTGAAATACTCACTGACTCAGCTTATACCTGCAGCCAAATACTGATTCTTGTAGTAATAGGCACAAATGCCCACAACAATCGAAACAGCCGTTGTCATCATAACCGACTTTGGGGTTAAGATCTTTAAGAACCATTTACTTACATTATAATTAGATTTCGAAGAAACTGAACGTCGCAAATTAATCCGCGCTTCCTCCAGTTTACGTTGTTCTTGCCTATGTTTGGGAAATTAAAAACAAATTAAGAAGCTGCCGCCAGCAAAAGTCTGTTGCACTTACTCAATTTTGATAAGTTCCTCCACTTTCTTTTCAATTACGGTCAAACTATACTTGTCATATAATTTGCTGGATGTTATTAAAAGATCCTCAAACGGTAGATCATCTGGCAACTGCAAAGTTAGCCAATTCAGCATTAGATTCTTCGATATTGCAATCAACTTACCTTTGATAAGAGACAATGCACTGATGCCATATCACAGTCCTCTTGTAGAATAACATTCGCCCTATGCAATAGAATTGCGGCAGTAACAAAAATAGGTGTATACATGGGTGAAGCTAGAAAATAATCGTACAATCGCACGACCGCTTTGTAGGAATTCAAGCTGTGTCCGAACCAGGTCAAATACCACGGCAAGGCGAACAACGTGCCAACTGTGGAACGTTGTAGGAAGTGAAAAAGTTCAGGCTGTTCGAAGAGGACCACGGGCCAAATAAACATAAGTCGTCTCTGGGTCGCTTCCATTGTTTCCTGCATACATTCGGAGAAGTGCGTTGTAGAGAGATGTTCCATTATGGCGAAGGCAACTTCTTCGCCAGCGACCAACAGAAATGTTACTGCCACATCGTGATACCCTTGATAATAGCGCAAATTTGGGTACTTTTTAATCACTCGCAGTATAAGAACTGTCAGCTGGTCCTGCAATGCTATACGTTGCTCGTATGGAATGCCTGGCGGAAAGCGCTTCAGTGACCGATTTACATCAAGTACAACTTGATGGTATTCCGGGTGGCTTTGTAATTCATCGAGAGTCGGAGCTCGCTCCAAATCCTTAACATCGACACCCGCCAACTGTGGCCACAGAATTCGTCTGAGGTCATCGTTCACCAGTCCAAAATTGCTAAGTGCCAGCTGGCGCAGTGCTGCGAGTGGAATGCGGTTCTCCGGGCACTTGGCAATGAGTTCTTCAATTGCCAATCGCTTTGTGCGCTCTTCTTCGCTTTCTGGACCTACAAGTTTATGCGTTTATATGTATGTACTTGTGTATACTTAATTATTTGTGTGGTTTTAATGACATACATTTTTCGAAACTAAGAGGGGGAAGTTCGACTTTAGTTTCGTCAACATCGCTCATCATTGACAAACTTAATTCGGCTTTTATCGTAATCGCACACAATCAATCAATTAGTAATTACTGACTTTAATGTCTATAGATTTATTACTTTTACAAACTTATTTGTGAACATTCATTTTATCGGTTAACTTTTGCTCATCTACATGAAAATGTATAATTATTGTCATCGCTAAAATAGTGCCGATACAAAAATCGAGTATTCGATTTCTTGCTTTTTACAGTGCATCACTTTACATTAGCATTAACGACACGGAGTTTTCTTACTGTAAGGAAACTATCGGTTAATCAAGAAAGAAATTGTTAAAAAAGTAATTTAAAAGCTATTAATATCATAAGAAAATACTTTTCTGCTATGCTAGCTACGATAAGCATGCGGTACACTAAAGACAATTTGTATTCATAAAAATAAGGAACATGGAATTGAAACACATGTTGGGATGTTGATAAATGCTTACTGTCAGCTTCTCGCGGGTGTTTAAAATGCGACATATAAAGGTGACCGCCTGCTACCATTCAGACTGCCGTCCAACAAAACGGCGACAGCTGTGCTTTCTCATGAAGGCGCTAAGGATGTGGGTTACAACAGGATGGACCTAGAAACCGCATTATGTCAAAATCCAAACTGGTGGTCTCTCTCTTCTACGGCGGCTACTCATCTGGCAAGATGTTCTGTTGCGTAGGGATTTGATCCGACTACAGATTCGATTATAGCGATGTTGTCCCATTAAATTGCTAGGTTACTCTTCGACCAATGCATGGAGCAACTAATGCTCGTGTGCTCCGTCTACCTTGGTCATGGAACTGGCCTTTGGCTGTCAATCTTTCGTGTTTTTGGTTTGTGGAAGCAGGTACCGCAATGTCTGCGAGAGAGCCGCTGACTAGTGATTCGGGTCGGTTGAGACTAGACAGCCCGACAAAAAGTCATCAACCCAAGTTGGGGCAGTATCATGTCGAGGAACTTGTTTCGGAGGGGTCGCTCGATCGCTACTTTGCGAAGTCAGGATAAAAGCCATCAATTGGTGCGAGCAGCCGAGCAAGCCAAGCGCCCGAGAATCCTGAAACAATCCTAAAACCTTCAGGTATGTAACTCACATTTTAATATGGATGAGCGGCAGGTATAGTCAGCTTATGCTACAAGACAGGTTAATAGCCTTAGTTCGAAGCAGTTGCCCTCCATAAACAGGATCCACTGGGAAACTTCTTTGCGTATCTCTGCTTTAGTTGTTTTCTGCTTAATCGCTGAACAGTTGGTGGCTAGATCAAATTGGATTACTTCTTTAACGGGAGATATTAGAGTGATTTCCTTATTTTGTAGACATTTTATAAGACCGTGCCTTGCCCACGGAACAAGGAGCCTTCCGTGAGATTTCTGTACAATTGTATTTAATTCTAAATACTACCTAAACTAAATTGACATGTTTAATAGGTTGTAAAGAAATTTCACATATATTTTTTAAATAATTTATTTTGTTTTCGTTTGAAAGCAATAAAAATTAGGCTTAGATGTAAATTTGTTGGTATATCTAAACCTAAAAATACATATGTATATACAGATAAAAGAATGTTTACTTTAAATAGTCTTGTTTCTTTTCTTGTGCATTTTGCTGGTTCAGAATTTTCAAAAAAATATATTACTGATCGTTTTGGAAAAAGCCCAATTATAAAGCCCCATTATATAGATAATATAAAAATGTGACAGCCCTAGTTTAAATTATAAATTGATTTGTGCAGCTTTAATTAATTATAAAATGTATACAGTCCTCTTGAATAATACAAATGTTCCCCAACGAAAAGTCTTGTATACAAAACTGGTATATAAATCACAAATGAATGCGAAAAGTATCAAAATAATAATTATTTTAAATGCCAAGAGGTGGAAAAGTCAGTTTATAGCAGGCGAACAATGCATTTTATGATTATAATCGCAGTTTGCATAAAAGTTATAATAATAAAAAAAAAAACAATACTTGGGTGTAAGTCTGAATTCACTTAATATTACTTATATATATATGTGTCTAAGTTATACATATATTTATATATATATATATATATAATTAAGAAAGTAAGAAAGTCATTATTGATAGCTTAGACTACATAATATTGATACATAAGTATAAAAGCAGTAAGTCGAATGTTTACACATGTTTATGTACATTAATCGAGTTTGTAAATTTATCTATAATCCTGGCGTATTTGCTCGGATACTTTTAAATGTATTTGATTTTTTTTAATAAATTTTTGTTGACATTTAATTTTAGTAAATACATTATGTGTGTATATATCTTGAATATAATTTAAGTATTTAAATGTAGTTGTCATATTAAAAAATAGTTAAAAAGATTACATAATATATGCTTAGACCTATTGGAAATTTTAAATAGATTGTTTAAACAGTAACATTAATAATTAGAAAAAATAGCTTTCATAGGTGTCTAAATTTTATATGCGCGTTATATTGATTGCATCTGTTATTGATTCCCTTCTTAGAAGTTGTTTGGTATCATTTTCTATTTCCATTGGCGATATTGCCGTACTGTGATCATTCAAGTACGGTGTGTCTTCCTCCACAATTTTTTCGAGCAGTATATCGCCGGAATTGTTTAGACCTGTGCAACTTTCTTAAATTAGTTCTTGTGCTAAAAATTAACTAAAATGATTATTGCGAAAATTTACATTACCATTACGCCCTACTATCTGACCGTTAGATATATTTTCTGTAGAGCTACAATGTACGACTGCGACATCCGTTGGAGAGGACGAGCCATTGCGTCCGTTTTTTTGCAAGGCGACAGCCTTTCGCGCATGTCGTGTAGTTAATACACCAGTTTCTACGTCGCGCTCCAGTCGATGTCCTTTAAATGATGTAGATTGTATTAAAATTTGTATGCTTTCATCTAAAGTAGGTGCATATTTTACCTGAACGCGATCGTGTTAGCTGCCGTTGTACATAGTCTTCAAGATCCTCTTCCTCTTTGCGGCTTATAACGCAGTTTAGAATTAACAGAAATAAGCCCAATCCGAGGGAAAAAAGACCCGTGCATGTGACCTCATTCCACCAAGCCGAACTAGAGCCTATCAATATTTTTATATATACTGATTAAGGTTAACATTCTAAGAGTGAGCTTACTAAATACGTTCCAGGACATGGCTTCATCCGGAATAATGCCAGCGCCGCATAAGAAAACTCCAAAAACAATAAATACAATGCCAATGTGCAACATTCCGATACTTGATACCACCTAAATGAAATAACTCAGCGTTCACTTCGTAACGTACGACCATGATGATCTATAAATTGATATTAACCTGGGTATCTAACATTCCCGGCCCGGCTTTGACCGTATGATGGGGATGGTTGTATTTACGTCTCACAGATCCGCTCGGCGAATGAAAAGTTTCCCCGCTCTCCGAGCTCTGAGTGCTATACCGCCGCTCCTTGGCCCTTTTCTGCTCATCGCGGCGTTTTCGTTGCCGCTTAATCGCCATGGCGGAGTGTATACCCACGGAATGCATTCTTTAATTCCTTCATATAAGAAAGCAAAACAATTGAATAATATTAAGTAAACATTTTAGATAAAGATATGCACAAGCTTGCCTGTAACCAGGCTTGAGTATGCTATCTGGTTGACATTGTGCATGAAAGAGTATACTATATTTATTCAGAGATATTTCACAGGTAGATGAATTCACCTTTGACCCCATGATTATATTCTCCTATACCATACGCAAAATTTTCTATGGTTGTCTTGTCCAATTATATAAGTAGATAAAGCCGGCTTTGAGACTATCCAAAACTATTTTATGGTATACACATATTAACAATATTTCACTGTTCAAAATTAAAGTCTTGATATTTGTTATATTCACATACTTTGTATGCCCTTAAAATTTCATGTAAATCGGACAACAAACATAAGCTGTTCAGCATTAAATTTAAGAAAAACAAAGCAACACATGTCTGCAAATCAAATCACCATGGCAACATTTCAACAGGTTTAAATTCAAATTTAATGTTTTTATTTTAGCTGCAAATAAAGTTTACTTTCATATATTCCATTATACACTTATTAACATATGTACATAATATGTATATATCTGTTCAGATGTATACGAATTAGTGCATGAAAACAAATGGATTTGCATGCATATGTTATTGACAATATCGATGCATAAATAGATAAAGACACTGCAATGATTTTTCTGTCAAGCGAATGACTTAAACAACCCCTAAAATTGTGTATATATATACATAAGGGTGACACATATATGTAAATAGTTACACATGCAAACATATGCACTTCGCATCACGCATATACATTCGCATACATATGTATATATGTAAGTTACTTACCTTTCTTTGTACGTATGAAAAATAACAGCTCTCCGGTTTATTCCTTAATTGAACATATTTAGCAGATATCCATGCCACTTAATTCATTTTTAGCACTGTCCTAGTAAAAAATCATTTATATATGTACATATGCAATGGGTACAATCATTTGTAGAGAGTTAATAAATACATATGTACATATGCAAACATAAAAATGTATGCATATATAAGTTTACATGCGTATATGCATAATTTATGCATGTACATATAATATATATGCATGTATGTATCCTTATTGAACAGATATGTATTCATTATAAATAAATATATAATTAACAATATTATGTGCATATATATATCATATATATGCTGCATTCTGCATAATAATACATTTTAAACTATGATTCAGTATCGATTTTTTAGTTTTCCTGTGTTTTTTATTTAAATTATTCGTCTGAATTCTAGTTTTCACATATTTGTTAAGTTTAATCCTTGAATTGTAAAACGGCAGGCAAAAAATTGTTACATACATTTATGCAATATTTAAATTGTATATTTTGTTCCTTGTATTTTCTTTTTATTTACACCAGATAACAAGTCGGCCTGTGGGAAATGCTGCACTTTTCACTACAGTTATAAATAAGTGTCATGGACAGGAACTGAATTCCTTGGGAAAGTAGCTTTGGAGAAAGGGAGCGAAAGCTCTAAAATAGCTTTTACACGCAGGGGTGCTATAAAAGTTTAGGCGACAGAAAGCTTTTTCGTTCAATTGAATGCTTTATAAACAAATCAGTATGAAAATACAAAATATAAGTTAATAAGTCTTAAAGAATTTAAACATAAATAAACTAAAATGGACCTAATTAAAGCTATGCAGGTGTCGGACGCAATCAACAGCGCTGCCAAATGTCAGGATGACTTTCTTAAAGGCTTTCAGCTTCTGCATATAAGTTTTATGGACCTTCGTGTTCACATTTTTGTAATTGACGCCATCAATCAGTTTGGAATTAACATATGATAACCATTGTACATTGGTCTTTGGAGAGTACGATGACCAATTGTTTCTTTAAAAGTAGAATAGGTGAAGTTATTAAACCACACGTTGGCACTGTTCATATCAATTTTCTAATACTCACTTTAGCTCATCTCGCATCATGCGGTAAATGTCATATTGGTAGTCGCCTGTTGCCACAAATAAATCGTCATCTTGGGAGAGATCATTATAGTGGCAGCAATCGGCAACAGTTATTCTAGACAATGTATAGTCAATGATGGTTATTTTAATTCCTTTTGATGCAACCGACAAGTCCCTTCCACACAGTTTAAAATCGATTTGCTTCTTGTCTGTTTTCTCGATTAGTATATTGCCCCAATGTAAATCTCTATGTTCGAACTGAAAGGCTTCTTCTCCCACTGCTAGTGTTAATATTATCTAATGTTGACACATCGAATGAAGAAAAACGAAGTCACGTTTACTACTATTTCAATATTAACTTACCTGCTGCAATGAAAAATACGACTGCTCGGCATTTAAGAAGGTAAATGCTGACATATCTTGGCCCGCAAACTTAAGCTCCAAAATGATGAAAAGCTGGTTGTCAGTAAACATTTTTGGATGGTCATTTTCAGACTCCTTTTCCTCGTCATATTCTTCCCAAAGGCTTAATAAATGCTTAGGATATTTCCCTTTGACTAAGCATACCTACATTTAAATAAATAATTATTTGTGTATATTAACTATATATTATAGATATTTACACTCTTACGTTGTATATATCCACAAATCCTGAAGTCGAGTTCGTTTTATTTGTTCGTAGTTTGCTCAGCTCTTGAGAAATTATAATTTCGGGCAATATTTGCTCAAAGGTCTTTTGAATTTCTTCATTAACCAAGGCAGTACCCTCAATCGGAAGCACTTTCATGACTATGTCAGTTCTTGTGCTATTTTTTTGTGCATACTTAAATACTTCACCGTAAACTCCTTCGCCAATCTTGCAAGGGTCTATCATTTTGCCAGATGCATAAGCTGTACTAAATTTATACGGCTTGGACTGAGCACAGTACTTCAACACTTCTGTTTCGTAGTTGATTTTCTTGTTAGGTTCCGAAATTTCGTTTAAGTGCGCTGATGTTCGTTGGGCTATATGACAGGCCACCAAACCTTCCGATGTAACAGCTCTCGGTATAAATGATGGCTTTGGGCTCAAAACGCCAGGCGGCACCTCGTTTAAGTTTGTTCGTCGCCAGCTGATCAAAGACTTGCGCCATTTTCCCGGCTGAAGGACAAGTGAAGATCGGCTTTGTCTAAAGCCGTTGTTGGGTAACATTAACCTTAAACGTTTATTTTCAACAATCGAGTCACTGGACTTTTCAGGACTTAATGTATTCACTTCAAAGATAACTTGCTTTGCGGTCCTTCGCGTTTGCTTCTTTTCTGCAAGATACAATTAAAATTATTTAAGCGATTTAGAAAAAATTACCATTCCAAATTGAGTTTTGTAATTTTACCGGTGCCTTTCAATTGATGGTTATCTGCATTTTGTAATCCGTCCAATTTCAAGCCAGTAATTGGTGATAATGCGCAATGAAACAAGTTTGAGCTAAGGCGCTTCTCGCTAGGAGTTGAGATGGAGTTGCCCCGTTTCTTTATGTCTAATTTATCAGCCGTATCAATTGCTTGCGGCTTTTGCGAGGAGTACTCAGTGAAGCTCAAAAGGTTTGGATTGGAGTTCTCAACACTAGAATCAATATTAAATGATGCCCGCACATTCTTCTTAATTATATTGCGTTCCCGTAGTTGCCTAAAATTAAAATATATTATTTTAAGTGGCATAACAAATGATGCACTTAACGTTGTACGACATACGGTCTGGGGTCTAACAATCTGTCGAAGGAGTCCTTCCAGGCGTCGTCTGGTAAAGTAGAGTCCATTTTATAATTTGTTAATTATAGAAATCGTCAAATGCTTTTGCATGCTACTATTATAAAATACATTTATATTTGTTTGTTCACAAAACTATACTGTTTCATTCGAAATGGAATCTAAGCGCAAAATGAGGCACGCTAACGCAAAAAAGAGAAACATTGCGGCCTTCTGTTAAGTGATAACAGAGCGATATTATATATCGATATTTAAAATAAACTAAATAATACATGGTGCCAGCGAGCTATCGAACTCTGAAAACACATAGGCAAATAGAAATGAATCACGCCGAAGAGCCTTGCACTCTTTCAGGAATGTAAATTTGCGATTCATTTCAATATTAATTGCTTTTTATATAAAAGCTCGAATTTCAGTCGATTATTGATAGAGAATATGTATTATACAAAAGTCCGATGGAAAAGAGATGTTGCAGATTTGTAAAGATAATCGTGAACCAGAGTTTGACTAAGATATGTTAATAAAAAAAAAGTATTTCATACAAAAACAAAAGGAAGCTGTATATATCCACGTCCCTCCGTCGCTTTCGCAGCGAACTAGTATGCCAACTTTAAAGCTATTGCCATTAAAATTTTCATATTGCCGTTTTTCTGTTGCTGGCAGTACGTATGTATGTCGCATCGAACCACAGCTCTTGATTTGCTATAGGTTCATTGATGGATCAAATAAATGCCAAGTTTTCTTATTATGTCGCTAATTTAGGGGATACGAGCTCGTTTCCTTTAGCAGGAGTAAAAGAATATTAATAATAATAGTTTCATCTCATCCGCCTCTACTCCACAATCATAACGACAACAAATTTTCAACGAGGAAAAACGAATTAAAATAGTAATATATAAGCACACGTTTTTAACAACTAGCCAAATAGTAAAATAGTAATATATGAGCACACGTTTGTATTAACTAGCCAAATAGTAAAATAGAAGTAGTAGCTATTTATGCAAGATATTTGATATATATGTATATATATATACTATATTTATAAAGCTACATGTCAAATTTTGTTTTTTCTAGGCCTTTAAGCCTAAGAGATTTGCAAAAAAAAAGAGTATTTCGATATTGATTCTTATCGATTGCTGGGAAACGGGTCCAGTTATCGATTATCGGAAACATACTCGAACTTCGCGGGCACTAGAAGGACCCACGTTCTTATAGGCTTCGAGATCCTAGCGTTCATACATACGGACAGACAGACGGACTTGGCTAGATTGACTCGGCTTTTGATGCTGATCAAGAATATATATACTTTATGGGGTCGGAGACGCCTTCTTCTGCCTGTTACATACATAAAAAATATTATCAGTTAGAAGTTAAGACTACTTGACGTGATGATGTCATATGAGAAAGGAGAACAAATTAATATTTTTAATGTAGATCCTGCTTTTGGCTAGCATTATTAAGATAAACTAACAAACTAGAAATCAAGAGTCCTCGACAAGTACTGCACATAGATCCAGACTTCCATCTCAAACATTCAAACTGGATTTTCGGAAAAGGATTCGTGATGAACTTTCACAGTAAAAATATGCTTGTTCGAATTATGGACGAATTTTTATTTGCAAAATTTCAAGATCTTTAAAATTAACTACATGCAGACTTTGTGTGGCCAGAGATACTTCCTTTGGCCTGCTACGTTAATTTGCTCAAAAATAATAATAAAACTTTTATGCTTTTAAAATCGGAGGTTTAGATTATAATAGACCACAGATATGAGTTTGTGTGTTTTTTGGGGTTCTCTTTTGATTAATGTGAGTGCACATGTGAGTGCAAGTTTAAGTAATATTTGTTTATCTTTACAAAATTTGCTGCATTGCTCTTTTTTTACATTTGCCATTAAATGCAAAATATAAATTCATTTGATACTTTTCATACTTCAGCATTTGTAATAGCGGCATTTTTCTCTCCGTCGCAGCTGAATTTCTGTTTATACCCTGGACACATTGTAAATGGCCCAAAAGGGTATGATAGGCTTGTTCAAATGTATGGCAAAAGTCAGAAGAAAGTATTTCCAATCTCCATGTTTGTCTGTCTATAAGATTTAGAGCTTGAGGAGGAGGAGGAGGAGGAGGAGAAGGATGAGAGGAGGCGGAGGTGGGGGAGGAGGAAAAGGAACTTTACATTTCTGGATGACTTATAATTTGTATAAATTTGATAAGATTAAATCTTGAGACATGACCTAAAATTAAGAATATTACACTCCTTGAATAGCCCCACCATTTTTTTTTTCCTGTACAAATCAAAATTTTGGTATGGATATCGGGTGGATTCATATGGGACTCAGTATATCCATATAAATATCGTTAAATTGTTTTATTTTGAATCATGTCGAATATTTTGGCTAAAGCTTGAGTTGCTTCCGGTTTTGGCATCAGAAGGTTGAGGATATCTGCAAGTCGGGCATTCCCGACTAGAACACACCTACTTGTTTTTCGTTGTAATTGTCGGCCAAGAGAACGTGGAGTACTTTTTTTTTTACGACGTTGGACTGTTGACAGACAGTCGAATATGAAACTTGAATTTGTTTCGCATAGACCGTTTATTATTTTGCGTTTTACATTTTCAGTTTCAGTACATTATCGAGCTTTCATCGGGCAACATATCAAATCGTGTCAAATGCTTTACGTATATATACATATTAAATGTTTATAAAACATATACGAAGAGTGGATGAAACAAATTTTCAAAATATATAAAAAATGTTATTTAAAAAACAATTGTTTTTTTTTTTAAAACAACTTCGACTCTAAAAAAAAAAGTGCCTCAATGTTACACAAAACATCTGCCAATATAACGAAAATAAGTGCATTTTACAAGCTTAACTGGGCTTTAGTTAATTTGTGTTCAAAGTGTTATGACATGATATTAGAGTATTTCAATTTTCTGCTACCACAAACAACAGGTAACATACATGTCTATATCTATATATATATATATATATATATATATAGTTTTATGAATTAAATTGGGTATAAAGAGAAATTTTAGTCACATGAACATTTTTCAAAAAAAAAAGTCTATTCAAATAAATAAACAGCTTTTATTATGTTAATACTTATATTATGTGCGCATGTTGATGTGTTAAATTTAAATACTTATAAAAAGACAAAACGTTTCGCTATAAGCATTCTTTCCAGCTTTATTTTAAGAACTCGTCTGTGGGCGTTTATTAGCCGAAACTCAACCAAAATATGGTATTCATTTGCAGTTCTTGAGTGTTCTCTCTGCGAGTTGCGACAATAATCACTTTGCCGAAACAAATCTAAAAAGAATTTAATTTAAACAGCGACGTATTAATTAATGGAGAAAAGTGTTGAGAAAAATGTATAACATCTTCATAGTGCACATCTAATTTGTTGTTTACAAAATATATATATATATAATATAATTGAATTGAACAACATGTTGATGCAAGTTGCCATATCAATTATGTTTGAAAAAAGATTTTGTTGGATTTCGCACATGTAAAACGAAATTACGACGGAACGAATCATTTCGTTTCGCTGCAAATAATAATGAAAATAAGCTAAAATATTTGTCTGCATTCAAGATTTTCCTTCCATATGAATAGCTTCAGTGCTTATAGTCCGCTTTTTTTTTCGTACCCTGAACCCATTAAAAATGGGTATAAGCGTATATTGTATTTGTGCAAAATCCAAACGTATGTAACTGGCAGAAGGAAGCATCTCCGACCCCATAAAGTATATATATTCTTGATCAGCATCAATAGCCGAGTCGATCTAGCCATGTCCGTCTGTCTGTCCGTCCGTCCGTCCGCACGCAAGGATCTCAGAACCTATAAGAGCTAGAGACTTTTAGATGTAGATGCTCCTAGTTCCCGCGCAGATCGAGTTTGTTTCCGATAATCGATAACTTGTTCCGTTTCCAAGCAATCGATAAAAATCGATATCGATATCCTGTTTTTTGGGCAATTTTGGTAAATAATAAGAGCTAGAGTCACCAAACTTGACATATAGCTTCTAAAATAGAATATACATATGCATTTGATGTTGGAAGAAGAGGGTTCAGGGTATCCCCTAGTCGGGAGCTCCCGGCTAGCACCTCTTACTTGTTTTTTTTATTTTTTTGTGGGATTTTCAGTGCAAATTTATGGCACACACATGCGTGCATATACATCTATGGCTAATTTGAAGAAGTTTATTTCTCTCTCAATATTGTGAAAAATTGTACTGTCAAGGGGAATACTTGAGTTACTTAAGTTTAATTCTCAAAATCTCTATTGATCAATTTTGTGAAAATTGAGTAATATTGTTGTTTATTAAGTTCAGTTTTAAGATATCTAGCTCAACATTTAGACAGAAAGGCAGACCTGGCTAAATGGACTTAGTTCGTCGTTCTGATCGGGGTCGGAGATGTTTCTTCTACTTTTTTTTTTTACCCATTTTCAATGGGTTCAGCTTGTAATAAAGTGCGCTAAACTTTTCTACGTTCCATTCGTCACAACAATAAACGGATATGACAAAGCTAAGGAAATTTAAAGGCGTTGCAAATGTCACGCGAAATACTCTGTTCGCTGTGTAATAACTACTTAAAATTGATAGAGATTTAACTAATGGGCAACTACCTTCAAAACTGACCTTTGACCCGAAGTTAACTTGCCCCTTTTTCAAAGGAATCAACAAAGTATTCAAGCCTCAGAAAGGGATTGCGCTAACCTTAGGATCCCTCGATAGCTTTTGGAATATGGGCAAAGGGTTTGATTCTTCAGTTCGGATCAGGGCTCCTATGGAAATAGGTTGATTAACTTTTCCTCCCTTAGTCCGTCTGTCTTTCGTTAGTTCTTATGCAAAAAGCATCGATCTCAGAACCTATAAAAACGAGAGACTTGAAATGTTGGTTGTAGGTCTATCAATTGCCGCGCAGTACGAATTTGTTTCAAGCCCTCGATAAATGTCTTCTTTTCAGTTAGAAAGTCTAATACAATCAGTTTTAAATGTTGTATTTTCTATGAATATACGAACATTGCGTGGCACAACAAGATTTAGTGCAGAAAGTTTGAAAGAAAAAGAAAAGTTCTTAAAGGCAAAGTGTGATCATTTTGTCAAACCACGTTGCGGCAAAGAGTTTAATGCCAGCAGCTTAAATTAATTTTTATTATATTTTATTTTTAATAATACTAGGTATATCCCCTTGCTCATTAATAAGAAAAAAAACATGCGTTGATTTGGCTAAATCTTGAGCAAGCGAGCTTTAAGCTGGATTTGCTTCTGGTTTTGGTAGGACAAAGTTTGAGGTATATTCCCTGCGGGCACTTCTGACTGAAGCATTGTTACTTGTTTCTTTATTATTATTATTATTATTATTATTATCATAATCATATTAATATTATTATCATATCATAATCATAAAGACTTATGTACTAAGGGTTACGTCTGTTATGTTACCAAGAATATCAGGGAAGAAACGCAAACACATGCAAATATTTGATTTGTCGCCAGATCTTACTTGTTTTTGTTATTCTATTACTAAAAAACGATTAATAAGATATTTTCTTTCACAGTGTGACAATTGCTTAACTGACAAACTGCCTCAACATGCATTTCAAGCAAAAACATTTGCTTCTCATCCAAGGAGTTATTATATTCACGATGTGTCTACCTTGCGATAGCGAAGCACACAGTAAATGTATTGAAACAAATAGTAAGTAAAAGTAAATTTACAGATATAAACTGCAAAATGAATATTATACATATGTAAAGTATGTCAGAGTCCGATTAGCTTTGAGCGAGAAGGTGCTTTGATATGGAGACCTTGCTGAAAGGAACACCTTAGGTGTCCCCCAAAAGGGAAGCAAGTTTATCTGGGCGTGTGAATTAATTAATCAATTACACGTAAATAAAACCAAATACTTATTTGCTGTGTAAGTGAATTATTTAACTGCTTACGCCAGCACCGAGCCCCTTCAATGCACACAAATAAATGCAGAGACATGAGATTCTGACAAGAACGTAATTTATTTTTTATATTTACGCTGCATTTGTGGAAAACTTTGCATATGTAATATTAATTGCGTTGTTTATATATTATATTAATTATGTTCAATTTATTGTATACATTTCAATTCTCCAATTCAATTCTATTGTCAATTGTCAGTTTATCCGCCCGGTAAAGTTCAGGCTAAAATTGTTAGTTTCACAATTTTATCTTTTTACCTGAAAAACTTGCTAGATAGTTGTTGAAAGTTGAGATACATTTTTTAGCAGTATTTGATGATACCGATATTTAAGATTCAATAAGCTTCTCATATATACTATATCATATAGCTGCCATAGGAGCGATCGGTCGAATGTTAAGTTCTTTCATGGAAAACCTTTTTTGTTTTTCAAGATATATTGATTAAACGTCTTCACGATGCTCCCTATATATATATATATACAAAATTGTTTCTACTATATCATATAGCTACCATGGGAGGGATCGGTCGAAAGTGAAGCACTTGTATGGGTATCAAATATGCTTAGCTTTAAAAACTATTGATAGGCATTTAAATTTTAGTTTTAGAGTGCAGTTTAGCTTCAGCTCGAACTGAATATTAAGATAGTTAAATGTTACTTCAAGCGATTATATTCTGAACTTGTTTTTAGAAAGCGCTGCGATTGATACAATTGATTCAACTATGGGATTTGGTATTGGTCTTCAGGTGACAAATCGATCGACGCATCAGGTGATGACGCGAATATTTTATATGTTTTTGACGGAGGTACTAAATTATAAAGATGTTCAAATCATTCCAATACATTTCACAAACTCATCGGATCCCCGAAATCCGTTGTACACTTTGGATTATGTAAGGTAAGCAAACATTTGATCTAATGATGTATTCAGATTACCTTTATTTCTAATTTTCTAGAAGCTACAATCGGTTTCATAATATAGCTATGATCAATTTGGAAGTCTGGATGCAGTACAGTGTATATAAGCATTCGCACGAAAATATCTTCAGTGCCGGAGCGTCTATAACTCCCGGTCGATTTGGTTGGTTTGTGCCCAAATCACAAATTTCGACCGATACTAAGAACTGTAGCTTGCATTACGATGTCTTCAGAGATGTGAATAATGAGCATTATTCACTTTACATAATGGATGAAAATATTACTCAGTTACTGAGAAATAAAAGGTTAGCAAAATAACGTAAAGTTACCGAATAACTATTCAATATTATTTCTTAATTATAGTGTTGAAGAATATAGAAATCCGAACTGTGACAAAATGAAATGCTCAGCGCTTTTGGCAGAGTGGCGCAATGATTCATATTTTATTGAAACCCATTTGAAGGAGAGCTTTCTAAATGTTATTTGGCTGGGATTCGAATTTAAAGATACGATCGAGAAGTTGGCTAAAATATATGAAACAAATTACCCACAGGGGCAAAAAAGATTTATAGTTCTACATTGGGTGCCCTCGGAAATAATTGACGCTGACATCAAATTCACCCAAATAACATTGCCCAGATGTGAAGATTATATATACTTGCAAAACTCGAATTGTCGCTACGAACTAACTCCGATACTTAAATACTATGCACGAAGCTTGGCAACCGATAGGCGACTGATGCACGCGCTTCGAGCATTTTACATAACAGACAAGCAGTTCGAGTACATTCAAAAGGAACTGAGTATTCAGAGAATGAATTCCATGGATTCGGAAGTCATTTATAATAACGTTGCCTGCAATTGGCTGCGACAGAACTCTAAAACGCACAGCAACTGGATATTACCCAAAAAGGTAACAACCTTATCGATTGGAGGCATATTCCCCATCAATATCACGGATCGTGGACACCTGAATATAATTGGGGCAACGCAAAAGGCAGTTGATGCAATCAACAGAAATAATACAATCTTACCGGATTATCATCTAGAGATAATGATTAACGATGGACAGTGCAAGTCGGACATGGTCATGAAGGCATTTATACATTATTTCAATGTACCCAATATGCTGGGAGTATTGGGACCTGCCTGCAGTGAAACTGTGGAGCCCATAGCTGGCATATCCAAACATTTGAATATGATGGTAATGTCGTATTCAGCCGAAGGCGCTTCGTTTGTCGATCGAAGTGCGTATCCGTACTTCTTTCGGACCATTGGCTCGAACAGCGAATATGTCGATGCGTATTTAGAGATAATGCAGCAATTCGGTTGGATTCGGGTCTCGACCCTGACCGAAGATAGCCAACAGTACACGGAGTACATGTCGCGCATGGAGAGCAAGCTGAGGCTTCATAATTTCACCTTGGCATTTAGTCGCAAGGTTCAAAGCGATATAACAGCTGCGGATATGAGAGAGGTACGCGTTGAGTCACATTCAAGTCTAATATGTTAATTAATTTATATATATTCTAGCACTTGGGTAAATTAAAAGCAGCGCACTCTAGGATCATTATAGCCGAACTTCAAAGCGCCAATGCAGCTGTTGCCGTATGCGAAGCTATCAAATTGGGTGTAAGTTTTCTTATACATACGTTCTTTGTGCGGCGTATCAATAATTAACCATTCGTTTATTTTGCCTCGCAGATGACACAGGTTGAAAATTATGTCTGGTTTTTGCCCTCATGGCTATCGAAAGACTTTGATATGTGGAGCAATAAAGTCAATAATCGATGCACCGCCGAGCAGCTACGAAAAGTAAGTAGTTTTCATGTCAAAGATTCAAATGTTGGTAATAATAATTAATATTCCTTGGTGCTTTTAGGCGATCGAGGGACACTTTAGCATAAGGCACACGCCGTTCGGTGCGCCAGATGCCAAAATGCAGGAGGGCATATCTATAAGCTCCTGGTTGAGCTCCTATAGGACCGAGTATCCAACTTTTTCCAATTATGTTGGATTTGTTTACGATGCCGTGTGGGCTTATGCTATTGCAGCGCATAAATTATTGCAGAACGATTTGTATGCAATCAACAAATTGAGATCCAAGGAATTTGCTAGCCAATTCGCCAAACACATTTGGGCGACAAATTTTGATGGTTTGTCGGGCAACGTGAGATTCGGAGAAGGCGAATTCGGCGGCTCACGTATAATTGACCTGGATATATTACAATGGAAAAATTTGACTTATGTGAAAGTGGCAAATTTCAAGCCCAATGTCGTGGGCAGAGGAGCAAATGTGCACATAAGCGGTGGATATTTATCGCGTTTGCCAAGCAAAGTGTTTCCCGGCGAAGTGCCCGAAGATGGCAGATATGATTGTAGATTTTCGGGCTTGGCCCGGTTTTTGCAAGTCAATTGTGATGTGTCCTCGATGATATTCAGCATTGCCATGTGCCTGCTGGTAATTGTGTTGATGTCGCTGGTTTCTTTTTACTTTTGGAAACAGCGCTATGACCGCAAAGTAAGGCGATCAGCGCAAATAATGAAAATGTTCGGCATCGACCTGATTTCGCCATCGCGAAACAAAATCAATACCTTGGACAAATGGGAAGTGCCAAAGGAGAACGTTGTGGTCAATCGACGACTGGGCGAGGGCGCCTTCGGCACGGTGTACGGCGGAGAAGCCCGGCTGGGCTCCGACGACTGGACGGCTGTGGCTGTGAAAACGCTCAAGGCCGGAGGCACCACGGAGGATCGATTGGATTTCTTGGCCGAGGCCGAGGCTATGAAGAAATTTAATCACAAAAATATTATAAAACTGTTGGGCGTCTGTTTGCAAAGCGAACCAATCTATACAATAATGGAGTTCATGCTATATGGCGATTTGAGAACCTACCTTTTGGCCAGAAGAAACATGGTTAATGAGAAAATAACCGATGAATCGGATATCTCATCGAAGCGGTTGACCATGTACGCCATGGACGTAGCCCGAGGCTTGGCATATCTGGCAGAACAAAAATATGTGCATCGTGATATTGCGTGCAGAAATTGTTTGGTTAATTCGCAGCGCATCGTTAAAATAGGCGACTTTGGCATGGCCAGACCAACTTTTGAAAGCGATTATTATTGCTATAATCGAAAAGGTGTGCGAAAACTCTTTCCGGTGCGCTGGATGCCGCCGGAAACGCTGTCGTTGGGCATATTTACGCATGCCTCGGATATATGGTCATTTGGGGTTGTACTTTTCGAGGTTATATCATTTGGATCATATCCGTATCAGGACTTAACAAACAATCAAGTTCTTGACTTTGTCAAGGCTGGCAATACCCTGCAAATTCCGAGCGGTGTCAAGCCACAGCTGGAGGGCCTTTTAAAGGCCTGTTGGAGTCAGGATGCGAGTAAACGTCCCACAGCCTTGGAGATCATCGATTATATATCTACCTATCCACGCCTGCTGACTCCATCCCATGACTTTCCCGGCACGGCGGTTCACTTGCCAGAGTCCGATTGCGACGAAGTGGAACTACTACCGACTTGCCGTCAGTTTTCACCAGCGAACCACGAACCCAAATTGGACATTTTTGACCCACAAAACGAGAAGCTATCGGATTTCGCAGAAAATGTTGAATCTGGTGCTTTGAGTGTGCCTCTCAGTAGTAATGGTTCCTTTTCACCTACCACGCCGGATGGATATAGCATAATGTCTCCACTCTTAATGCATCAAGTTGATGCAAGTTCCAAAACTACAAAAGCATAGCTACTTATATATTTGATAAAACTTCGGAATTTTTAAGCCGCCAAATGCTGTAAGTTGTTAATTTTCAATTATAAGAATATGCATATGATATATATATATATATATATATATACTTCTCCAAAGTAGTTTGATAGCTCGAAATCAAAAGTCAACAAAAAACATTTGGAATTGTTGGTCTTCTTTTGAAGAAAACCCATTAACCCAACTCACCTGGGATTCGAATCAGAATTCCATTCTTAACTTGCTGAATAATCATTTTAAAAATATCTGAAAGATTTCGTAGAAATACATCGGAACCGTAAAAAGGTTGCGAAAGACAACAAATTTTGCTGCATAGCATAATTAAATTAAGCATCAAAACATTTTTCAGACAGATTTTATACAGATTTAAGTACTGAAAGTTAGGTCTACCCTTTATATATTAATTATAGATATTATAAATATATTTGCTAGAAATCGATGCCAAATATTTTGATAAGCTGGGCTGTATTAAATATAAGCAATTGCATTTAAGAAAGTAATTTGTAGGGTTTTTTTTTAACTGAATAAAGTCAAAAACGACATTTTCTTATCAACATCAGATCAGGATATCATAGAGCAGGAACGATCGACCAAAATTTAGGTACTTGTAAGTAAAACTGTTTTATTTTTAAAGATATCTCTACTATACTATACTTTATAGCTACGACATGAACGATCGCTTGTAGAGTAAGTTATTGAATGAAAAACTTTATTCTTTATCAAGAGATTTTATCTTACATATGATACATACCTTATCGCATTCATTGAAGCTCCATAGTAAGAATCAGAGATATAATTGGCTTGTGTGATAAGAAATTCTTTTTTCTAAGATATTTTATGCAAACTCAGCCCTTAAAAGCTTCACCATAAAAAAAAAGTCAAATGTATCTTAATTAATAAGTTGAATCGAAATGTGGAACACGCCCGATAATATAGTTTACACACACATATGTTCATGTTTAAACACATTTATGTACTCACACTTCGAAGTGCGATATGCGCAGCTTTGAGGGATTTAAAAGAGTTTTTATATTATTCGTAGAGTGAAAGAAGTCATAAAACTAGAATAAAATAGAAGCAAATTCAAAATTAACCATGCCAACAAACACACACATATGCATGTACATGTGTGTATGCATACATACATGCACATATAATTATTATTGTGTGGAAGCACACTCTCTCGCCCACACACATACATATTGTAAATCCGTGAATTAAGAAACAATCATAATAATCGCACTCAGCGCACGTAATTATAAAATCCACATAACGGAACGAGAAATGTTCGGGCCTAGCTGCAGCTACAGCCTCAGCCATAAGCTCCATTGCAGACTCCCAGCCTTTATCTACGTCTCCGTTAACGCCATGGCTGCCGCCGTAGCAATTGCTGTGGAAAGTGCACAACGACATTATGTTGCGCTCTACCGCGCTAATGCAATGGTCTATCATCAACGTCCAGAGCTAGCATATAAAAGGACTGCGAGAGCGGGTGAGGTGGAGATAAAAAGAAAGAGAGAGCAGAGAGAGAGAGAGAGAGAGAGAGAGAGCGCGAGGTGGAGAGAGAGGTAGAGCAAGGGCGAATAAAGCAAAAGGACCGAGTAGAAGGCTACAACCGCGTTGGATGCAATTCCACAGTCATCATTAGTTGTGCTAATGCACCGGAGTTAGGGGGAGGGGCAAAGGAGGTACTGTGTTATCGCAGCAGCAGCAGCTGCAGACTCTGCAGTAAAATTGTCTCTGTCAGATGCAATTCGAAACCAAACGAATGAAATTGTTTCATGTTACACAATAAAAATTCTATATGAAACCAAAACAATGGGAAGGTAAATAAATGCGGGATCTGAGCGTTGACTCTAAATAAAAATATTTATAACACACTCCTATACACATACACACACACACACACACACTTAGGTATTAGAGCATTATGTTTGGTAATATTTTGTTTGCTGCACAGTGGTCCATACACACAAATTATGAAACGAAAAAAAGTACATATATTCTTGGCCAGTTGATTTATCTATGTTCGTCTGCTCGTATGAATGAACTGGTCGATCTCAGAAACTTATGGTCCTCCAAGTGCCCGCGTAGTGTTAGTTTACTCGTCAAATTATCGGAAGCCTGCTCTGTGTGCCTGCTATCGATAAGAATCGATAACGAAATTTTGTTTTTTGAAGAAGGATTCGCATACAGGTCAGGTATAGATCAAGTCAAAATGAAACTATGTAGAGAATATATACATACATATGTACATATAAAGGCAGGAGTTAACACTATCATGTTAATTAACATATACGATCTATCGATAAGCTAGCTTATCGATATGCACAAGTCATCTGTTGCTAGTAGTCGGCTTTGGTCTGCAGCAGCGTTAAGTGGAAATCATTAATAAAATAAACAGTACAATATTAAAATTCTAACAAGCATTTCAATTGGAAATACAGGCTCGATTTTAAGGCAGTTGTCGAATTCTACGAATAATCTATGGCGTTATAAGAAATACTGCAGAAAACTTAATTAAGATCGGTTGACTGAGAGGTTGCCAAAGAAAACGTGTTAATGTGCACATATGCGTGTGTTCTTTTTTAATTCTTCAAATATAATTGTGATTGTGATTGCTGCGATTTTAATTAACACTTTTCCGTGATCAATTTGGTCAAAGTATGGCCTTAAGCAGCTAGTTGATTGGTGCCGTGTTCAAAACCGGAAGTGTTCGGCTTAGTTGCTAAGGTAAAAACAAAATGGTAAATTCGTCAAGAAACATATACTCTAATTGGAACTTGGAATTGGATATTTTAGGTAAATAAATATCTTTTTTAATTGGGAATTACATGGATAAGTTCCATTTAATACAGATTTGATTTATTATATTTATATCAAGTCGACTACAGAGTCCCCTATACCTCTCAGTCAATATAAAATGTTATTATAAGCAACACGAAAATATGGTACAAAATGGATTCAAGAATGCTTATGTAGGTATTATTTGCCGATCTTCATGAGCCCCAACTTTAAACATTTATATTATATTTAAATTTTGTGTAGAATGTGACTCAAAGGTTTTTTATTTATATATTTTATATATCGATTTTGCCATTTTACTGTAAATGCCGTTTTGAGAAATTCTACATGGAAGTCTGAAAAAAGTATCAAAAAACGTTTTTATGAATTTTTCCGATCGCAAACTCACTTTATAAAATCTTGTTCAGAAATTTCATACATTTCAGAACATTCATTCATTCCCCATATAAATACTAGTCAAAGTTTTGGTGGGATTTAAGAAAAACCAGGCAGCGAGCTGTTGATACAGCTGTCCATTAGCGGTAACTTTTATTTATTTCATTATTATTACTTCTAAAGCTAAAGTAGAAAAGGGTTCAGGGTATTCTGTGTACCGTGATCGATCACTCCTATGGCAGCAATATGATATAGACATCTGAACCTATGCAAAGTACTCCTGCTAGATTAATCTGGCATTTAAATCTGAACACCGATTTTTTAGTCGAAACTCATGTCCAAATCTTACCCATTGGATCAAAATTTACCACCCCCATAACTCGGTCAAATCCCATCCGATTTTCACGAAGTTTGACTTTTTCATCATGGTTTTACCTCTAGATTAATCTGGCATTTAAATCTGAACACCGTTTTTTAGTCGAAATTCAGGTCCAAATCTTACCCCAAGATTCGTATATAGACATGGGTCAAAATTTACCACCCCCATAACTCGGTCCAATCTCATCCGATTTTCACGAAGTTTGACTTTTTCTTCATGGTTTTACCTCTATATTAATCTGGCATTTAAATCTGAACACCGATTTTTTAGTCGAAATTCATGTCCAAATCTTACCCCAAGATTCGTATATAGACATGGGTCAAAATTTACCACACCCATAAATCGGTCAAATCTCAACCGATTTTCGCGAAGTTTGTATTTTTCTTAATGGTTTTACCTCTATATTAATCTGGCATTTAAATCTGAACACCGATTTTTTAGTCGAAATTCATGTCCAAATCTTACCCCAAGATTCGTATATAGACATGGGTCAAAATTTACCACACCCATAAATCGGTCAAATCTCAACCGATTTTCGCGAAGTTTGTATTTTTCTTAATGGTTTTACCTCTATATTAATCTGGCATTTAAATCTGAACACCGATTTTTTAGTCGAAATTCATGTCCAAATCTTACCCCAAGATTCGTATATAGACATGGGTCAAAATTTATCACACCCATAACTCGGTCAAATCTCATTCGATTTTCACGAAGTTTGTATTTTTCTTAATGGTTTTACCTCTAGATTAATCTGGCATTTAAATCTGAACACCGATTTTTTAGTCGAAATTCATGTCCAAATCTTACCCCAAGATTCGTATATAGACATCGGTCAAAATTTACCACACCCATAACTCGGTCAAATCTCATCCGATTGTCACGAAGTTTGTATTTTTCTTAATGGTTTTACTTCTAGATTAATCTGGCATTTAAATCTGAACACCGATTTTTAGTCGAAATTCATGTCCAAATCTTACCCCAAGATTCGTATATAGACATGGGTCAAAATTTACCACACCCATAACTCGGTCAAATCTCATCCGATTTTCACGAAGTTTGTATTTTTCTTCATGGTTTTACTTCTAGATTAATCTGGCATTTAAAACTGAACACCGATTTTTTAGTCGAAATTCATGTCCAAATCTTACCCCAAGATTCGTATACAGACATGGGTCAAAATTTATCACCCCCATAACTCGGTCCAATCTCATCCGATTTTCACGAAGTTTGACTTTTTCTTCATGGTTTTACCTCTATATTAATCTGGCATTTAAATCTGAACACCGATTTTTTAGTCGAAATTCATGTCCAAATCTTACCCCAAGATTCGTATATAGACATCGGTCAAAATTTACCACACCCATAACTCGGTCAAATCTCATCCGATTTTCGCGAAGTTTGTATTTTTCTTTATGGTTTTACATCTAGATTAATCTGGCATTTAAATCTGAACACCGATTTTTTAGTCGAAATTCATGTCCAAATCTTACCCCAAGATTCGTATATAGACATCGGTCAAAATTTACCACACCCATAACTCGGTCAAATCTCATCCGAATGTCACGAAGTTTGTATTTTTCTTAATGGTTTTACTTCTAGATTAATCTGGCATTTAAAACTGAACACCGATTTTTTAGTCGAAATTCATGTCCAAATCTTACCCCAAGATTCGTATATAGACATGGGTCAAAATTTATCACACCCATAACTCGGTCAAATCTCATTCGATTTTCACGAAGTTTGTATTTTTCTTAATGGTTTTACCTCTAGATTAATCTGGCATTTAAATCTGAACACCGATTTTTTAGTCGAAATTCATGTCCAAATCTTACCCCAAGATTCGTATATAGACATGGGTCAAAATTTACCACACCCATAACTCGGTCAAATCTCATCCGATTGTCACGAAGTTTGTATTTTTCTTAATGGTTTTACTTCTAGATTAATCTGGCATTTAAATCTGAACACCGATTTTTTAGTCGAAATTCATGTCCAAATCTTACCCCAAGATTCGTATATAGACATGGGTCAAAATTTACCACCCCCATAACTCGGTCCAATCTCATCCGATTTTCACGAAGTTTGTATTTTTCTTC